GTTGCGAAAGAGAATACTCTTATTGCTGCTCCTCTAACAGAGAGAAAATCAAAATTATTCGTCTACAGTTAGTTACCTCAAAAATGTAATTCCGCGTGATTTTATTACGAAAAGCAAACTGAAACTCTGTTTTACCTCCAATAGACCCTAACCAAAGATATATTTGGCGATCAATGTATCTGTGGAGATACATTGAACAAGAGAAAAGGATAATATTTCAAAGAGGGCTCCTTGATTGGTTGTTGCTTATCTGGACTTTGCCCTCTGTGTGTGAAATACGTGATAAGATGCAGGTTGTTTGACAAGGAATTTAAAACACGCAATTGGATCAGTCCAAGGTAGCTTAAAGCGACTTTCATTCGTAGAAAAAGTCAAACGCGGGAGAATTGCGTGGAAAACTCAATATCAGTTGCATTTAGTTTCAAGTGGATTTTTTTTCGGTGGGGTTGGACAATGTGGATAAATTAGTGATAAAATGCAGGCTGTTTACAAGAAAATGAAACGTGATAGAGTGAAGCCTAATGTATCAAAATGGAATTTGATTGGTTGAATACAATTCAAGCACGTGAAAAATTCCTAAATCTTCATGTAGTGCAACTAGACCCTGTGAGCAGGGTAACTGGGATACCTGGATGGTACTGGATCCTTGGAATCAAGTGTAGTGATACTACGGGTGTCGGACTAGTATACTGAAATAGTGCGCTCAAGTCTGGCCAAGGGCATACACCTATTTCAAAACACAGGCATGCTATGCGTGCAAGAGTTCCTTTTTTGTAGGGTGGGTGGATCACTTGAAACATTGTGAGTGATGTCTACATTCTTACAAAAGGAAAGAAGAATATTAATGTGGGAAAGAACGAAAATGTCGAATTACCTCACTCACAGGTATTTTGTGGTAGATTATGTGTGTTTTGCGAATAAATGTAACCAAAAATAAACTGTATTGGTGCCACGGATACCTTTTAGTACAAAATGCAGTCAGCAGACCGGATACAAAATATAGACTGGAGACTACAGAGTGGGTACAAAATGCGGACTGAGAATCTGAAGAGTTTTTACGTCTGGTAAATAATAACATGTCATCATACAGCTTACCGAGCGTCACGCAATCGCTTTTCCTCGATCAGCCTTCACGATTATTTGCACTATTGTGGAAAATTCCTAGCCCATTTCTTGATGAAAATCGATCGTAATATAATTTCAAGCCTTCAATATACTCTTCTTTCTTTGTGCGCGAGTTGGTTTGTGTGATGTCTGTACAGATTTTACCAACGTAACAAAAGTAGATTATGTGAATAACAGTGATGGTAAAGCAAGCTTAAAACGGCAGAAATCACCAGAAACTTCAACGGATACACAGTTCGCGATTCAATCCGGTCCAAAATTACCGCTTAATAACATCTTTTAGTGTGGATTGGCGGCGAACAATACGACTTGTGTATGCGTCTGTAAGTATTTCGAGCGTTTGCGCTATAATGCTTCAGGTGATCGTAATCAGAACACGTTGAAATACAAAACGACCGACATAAGAGTTTTCTAAGCAAAAATCTCGTGTTCGTCATGTGACCCGGACCTGTCCGTGCATGACAACGTCAATCATTATCAAGATAACACGTGATCAGCATGTGGACACCTTCACCCTCATTGGATCACAGTTAGTTGTCATGGTGTTGAGGGCGCAATGACCACTGGGTACTATTGCGCAATTTTTCCATTTTGTGGCGGAGGAAAAAAAAAAACAAAAACAAAAACAAACTAGACCCTGTGAGCAGGGTAACTGGGATACCTGGATGGTACTGGATCCTTGGAATCAAGTGCAGTGTTACTACGGGTGTCGGACTAGTATACTGAAATAGTGCGCTCAAGTCTGGCCGAGGGCATAGACCTATTTCAAAACATAGGCACGCTATGCATGCAAGAGTTACTTTTTTGTAGGGTGGGTGGATTACTTGAAACATTGTGAGTGATGTCTACATTCTTACAAAAGGAGAGAAGAATATTAATGTGGGAAAGAACGAAAATGTCAAATTACCTCACTCACAGGTATTTTGTGGTAGATTACGTGTGTTTTGCGAATAGTAGTAACTAAAAATAAACTGTATTGGTGTCACAGATACCTGTTAGTACAAAATGCAGACAGCAGACTGCAGACCGGATACAAAATATAGACTGCAGACTGCAGAGTGGGTACAAAATGCAGATTAAGAATCTGAAGAGTTTTTACGTCTGGTATATAATAACATGTCATCTTACAGCTTACCGAGCGTCACGCAATCGCTTTTCTGCAATCCGCCTTCACGATTATTTGCAGTATTGAGGAATATTCCTGGCCCATATCTTGATGAAAATCGATCGCAATATTATTTCAAGCCTTCAATATAGTCTTATTACTTTGCGCGCGAGTTGGTTGGTGTGATGTCTGTACAGATTTTATCAACGTAATAAAAGTAGATGATGTGAACAACAGTGATGGTAAAGCAAGCTTAAAACGGCAGAAATCGCCAGAAAATACAACGGATACACAGGGTATGAGTAATTTTTATTGACTTTACGAGAAAAATGTTCATATTTCGAAATATGTATCGTTGTAAATCGACCATACTTCGTTCCCTGTACTATTCCTTATAACGTGCAGTTCCTCTCGTAACTTAACACCGAGTCACACAACGCGTGACGCGTTCATAAATTAATCGTTGGCTTTTTCTCGAGACGTGAGCTTGGGCCGCTTGTGACAAGACAATTGCGTAAACAATATTTAACATAACAACATTATACACAAAAAAACACAGGGTTTTGGATCACGTATTTATTAAAAAAGAATATCCATAAAACTACAATGAAAACAATCGTAAGATTCACCTTTCTGATGGTGAAATTAATACCATTCGTACTGTTATCGTAGCTACGTTCCTTGCCATCAAGTGAATCCAACATGTCGTCTTTCTTCACAAGCAGTTTGCATCCCTTATAGCTATGTTCTTCAGTCTCACGGTAGTAGCGTTGTTCAATAGATTGCATAGAGTATATGCAGTTTGGTTTCAGATTTCAGATTTTGCTTTTTACAACAAGTGAACATTTTTCAACTAAGACATCGGCATACTTAGCATACAAGGCATTCAAGGCTTTCATGGCTTTCAAGCGTTCGCGACTCAATCCGTTCCAAAATTACCGCTCAATAACATCTTTCAGTGTGGATTAGCCGCGATTAATACGACTTGTATATGCGTCTGTAAGTATTTTGCGCGTTTGCGCTATAATGCTCCAGGAGATCGCAATCCAAATACGTTAAAATACAAAACAACTGACCTAAGAGTTTTATAAGCAAAATCTCGTGTTTGTCATGTGACCCGGCCCTGTCTGTGCATGACAACGTCAATCATCGTCAAGATAACACGCGTGATCAGCATGTGAACACCTCATTGGATCACAGTTAGTTGTCATGGAGTTGAGGGATAACACGCGTGATCAGTATGTGAACACCTCATTAGATCACAGTTAGTTGTCATGGTATTGAGGGCCCAATGACCTCTGGGTACTATTGCGCAATTTTTCCATTTTGTGGCGGAGGAAAAAAAAAAAAAAAAAACTAGACCCTGTGAGCAGGGTAACTGGGATACCTGGATGGTACTGGATCCTTGGAATCAAGTGTAGTGATACTACGGGTGTCGGACTAGTATACTGAAATAGTGAGCTCAAGTCTGGCTAAGGGCATACACCTATTTCAAAACATTGGCATGCTATGCATGCAAGAGTTATTTTTTGTAGGGTGGGTGGATTACTGGTGGTCTACATTCTTACAAAAGGAAAGAAGAGTATTAACGTGGAAAGAACGAAAATGTCGAATTACCTCACACACAGGTATTTTGTGGTAGATTATGTGTGTTGAGCGAATAAATGTAACCAAAAATAAACTGTATTGGTGCCACAGATACCTGTTAGTACAAAATGCAGTCAGCAGACCGGATACAAAATATAGACTGGAGACTACAGAGTGGGTACAAAATGCAGACTGAGAATCTGAAGAGTTTTTACGTCTGGTAAATAATAACATGTCATCTTACAGCTTACCGAGCGTCACGCAATCGCTTTTCCTCGATTAGCCTTCACGATTATTTGCACTATTGTGGAAAATTCCTAGCCCATTTCTTGATGAAAATCGATCGTAATATAATTTCAAGCCTTCAATATACTCTTCTTTCTTTGTGCGCGAGTTGGTTTGTGTGATGTCTGTACAGATTTTACCAACGTAACAAAAAAGTAGATTATGTGAATAACAGTGATGGTAAAGCAAGCTTAAAACGGCAGAAATCACCAGAAACTTCAACGGATACACAGTTCGCGATTCAATCCGGTCCAAAATTACCGCTCAATAACATCTTTTAGTGTGGATTGGCGGCGAACAATACGACTTGTGTATGCGTCTGTAAGTATTTCGAGCGTTTGCGCTATAATGCTTCAGGTGATCGTAATCAGAACACGTTGAAATACAAAACGACCGACAAAAGAGTTTTCTAAGCAAAAATCTCGTGTTCGTCATGTGACCCGGACCTGTCCGTGCATGACAACGTCAATCATTATCAAGATAACACGTGATCAGCATGTGGACACCTTCACCCTCATTGGATCACAGTTAGTTGTCATGGTGTTGAGGGCGCAATGACCACTGGGTACTATTGCGCAATTTTTCCATTTTGTGGCGGAGGAAAAAAAAAAAAAAAAGACAAAAAAACAAAGGCATTTTATGACTGGGCTACCACAGGTATCCCAGTAATTACTTACACAAGTAATGGGCTCCTGACAACTGTCGACATAACATCTCCGTCTAATTCACTAAGCTATTCACTTTCGCTAAGAGGAACACGCTCTTTTTTGAACTGATTGAACACTTTAAATGATAAACGCGTTTTTCTAGAGTTTCTGCTCTTTTATTTAATTTGACTTTCTGAGGATGGATGACCTCCCGTGGATACACCTCTCTCTTTTACGACTTGCGCATATAGTCAATCACTGTTTAGAGAACTACGTGAAGGAGTTTTTGGAACATCGTATGATGTCGGTTGTTCCTGCTGTTTTCGTGTGAGGTAACAATAACCCGGAACTACCAAGATGATCAGCACAACGCCAATTATTAGCCCGATGGCAACCGCTACCGTGTCAGTTCGCCTTCCGGAGACGGCTGCAATTCAAAAATGTATATATATATATATATAGTTTAAATCTGTCTCACACTTGAAACGATTCGCATCAAAAATCACATTCAGATGTGCAAAACTACCACAACTATCTTTATTCAAGCTACCACCACAAATGCACGCCAACGGTTGGAAAATGATACACTGGCTGCTAACTCCACTGACTGTTAATTCTCCCTCCAACTGCTACCCATTTCCTTGTAAATTAGTAACGAGAATTTGGTGTTATATCAAGATAGGAACTTCTACCTGATAAGTTTGGTATTCTCGTTACCTGTTTGCTGGATGATGTATTGGTATTATAGGGAGAAGTTACATGTTACTCACTACTGGGAGTTAAATGGTTAACAGTTCACTCTTCTGTAAGCGTGATCAACGCGTAAAACGACATTTCGTGACGGACTCACAATATTTACAGCGTTTTTTGGTCAACCCGACCAAGGGTAAAAATCGACCAATCTGAACAAGGGTAAAAATCAACAGGCGTATTCCAAACGTTTTACTAGTATTCACGACTCTTTCTCTCTCATATGTAGTTAGAGTCATTTCTATTGTGACGTAAATGTAAGTTGGTGTAAATAACACAGTCACTAACAACTTGAGTCTACCTCACAGCCATTTTTTGAGATGTCACACAACACTCGCCCCTCGCCCTCCAGAAATGGCGTTGCGTGACATCTCAACTACTGTTGATCTCACTCACTCGCCAAGACGAAGACTCGAAAGGTGACGAAAATTTATTCAAATCGAGTTTGCCCAGAGCAAAAACAACCAAAACAACAACAACGACAAAATGACTGTCGGTAGATAGGTAAAATGTCTGGAACAAGCCGTGTGGCCTGCTTCAAAAAACTTTACTTAATAACATTTCTCTGTAAAGTTTACTCCTTTAGTCTCACGCTTTTGATGCAAACTTTGTGTAGACCATCTCAGATGCAAGTTCTGTATTGGACAGTATTAGGACATTCCAGTACGTCGGGACAGTTCCTTCGGCACTTAAGTTGCCGGGACCTGACACCACTTCCGTCAGGCAGTTTTAAACCATGATTAAATTCGCAAACAGACTACACGTTCCAGTTCTTAGTGTCGACCTCACCCAACCGCGAGAATGCAAAGCCTTTTAGGGAACTATCTAACACCGCTATCGTCCATTTAACATTGCGCGAAACATTCGATATGCGTTGCGCAGGCAGGAAGATGCTCCAAAAGCCACGCTTTTGCGAGGTATCAAAGAACCATCATTTCAGTTATAACGTTTTATAATACACTCCTCCTGACCCCACACGCATCAGCCTGATGGCAAGCACGCTGGATTCCGCCTCGAGAGGTCCAGGTTCGAGGCCTGGCCGATTCACTGTGTCAGGTTCTCAGGCAAGACATTCATCACAGTGCGTCTCTCCAGCCAAGAGTACGACTGGATGCAGGCGAATTGCCTGGGATGGGGAACAAGAAGGAGTTTACCACTCCTTGTCGTTACGGGAGTAATTCCAGCGGTTAAAGTCAATAAAGGGCAAAATTTATACGGCTATTTTTATCTGTGTTTAGCAAAATCATCAATCAAATTGATCAACAATATAGTCTCCAAAACTGTGTGACAAAAAGTCAATCTTTCAACATCTGCCCTTTTTACAACAAGTTGCTGTGTTGATTACTTGGTTCACAATAAGCTTCTTTCTTTATTGAACCTTTCCCCAAATCAAGGCTCCACTTTACAATCTCTTCTTCTTATTTGAAATCCTTCCCCAGAACACTGACCCCAATCGCGCCAAGCTTTCCATTCTCCCTCTAACACAGGAAAAATATCACAACTTTGCCCGAGAGCTCTTCAAATATCAGCTGCACCATGTACATAGCTTGCGTTTAAACAGACATTAGTAGTTAACTTTACTCTTCACATGCATTCCACAAAGGTTAATTATGTGCAAGAGTGTTTTTTCTTTACTCCAAGTAAACTACACCCGACCAGCCATCACACAGAAGAGGATCTCACAATTTTCCGCCTGCTATCTCGTGAAGATGTAATTTAAATTTTCATTTGTTACAACAGAACATTGCGTAAACTGAAAATGGAGCGATTTGCAACAAGAAGCGCGAACAATAAAGAGACGCCCTAACACATTAGGCCAATGAGAGTTTGAAGCAATGCTTGACACGGAAGAGTGCAGGTGACAAACTCGTGAATGATTTTGAACTAGCATCTGATTGGTGGAGAAGATGAAGTAAAGACGTGATGAATAATGATGCAATGAAGTAATGACGTGATGAAGTTTGAGCAAACTTTTCACAAAACTTCTTACCTCCACAAAGATCTCTTTGTTTCTCGCAATCAAATGTCTTGTTGAGTATTTCAACACTGATGTTAGATATGTTATATCCAGTGGTTTTAAAGATCACTTCAAAATGAACAACCTTGTTTTCTGATCAGTTTAAAGATCTTGTTGGGTTTGTTAACAGCCATTTTTCCACCTCTAATCGACGAAAAAATAAGACAGAGGAAAAATTGTAGAAAAAAACACATGCACAAAAAGGAGTTTCGGACGACTTTTTCTCAAATAAGCGTTTTACAGGAACAAAGCCTTCTTCTGTTGATGTTCTTTATTTTTGTTGTTGTTGTTGTGGTTGTTTTGCTGTTTCTATTGATGTTTCCAAAAATCTTGCCCTCGAAGTTTGCTAAAAAGTAGCAAGCTTAAGGTAAACATCAACTAATCTTTACGCCTGGGAAAGTAAACGATATAAAATTTCTTTGGACACAAAAGTTTCCTCTCACGCAAAGATTTTTATTTGAGTCATTACGAGAAACCGTGAGGACCAATGAAACTAGACATTACTTTTTAGGATAACCTTTTATTAACTCAACGACTCATATTTTTTTACCAGTAAGTACTGTAACTTTAAAGTAACAGAAGACCATTTACCAGTACTTCTTACCGTGTTTTCCCAAGTTACAGGACTCATATTGCACAGCCTCTCCTACACACGGTCTCCCTCCCCTCCTGGGGACTGGATTAGTACAGTTTCTTGTCCGCTTTCTTACCCCAACCCATGGCTTTGTTTCACAATCCGTCCAAGTATCCCATGCACCCCAGTTGCCGTGTTGCACACCATACTTCTCCCATTCTTCTCTCCCTTCCCATCCGACATTTATGTCCACTGAAACAAAAACAAAAAAATATATAAACTAAAATTGGCGATGGGAAGTAAAAAGATCATCAATTTTACAGAAATTGCTGGAGAAATAGTTCCGGTTTCCGGGGAGAGTTCACCATGACTGTTGAATAGTTAGCCTCCATCGGAACTGAATGAATTCGCCTGTTTATCACTCATTTCTAGCACCTCCTCGCTACTATTTACAATGGTGTAGTTTATAGTGAGTCATCAGTGTCTGTGTTCAGCGGTAATTTTAAGACAAAAAGGGACTATGATGTCCAAAAAGAAAAGGAAAATATAAAATACGCGTAGAAGGAGAAGGAAAATCCCTAACAAACCTGTGCAGTTTTCAAATCGTAATTCGTATCCACCCTGACAGGAGGAGTTTTGCCTGTCCTGGCAGGGACGAGCTTGACATCGACAAAGATTTCCATCACTGCCTTCACAAGTTTTCCAAGGAGACCATGCGATTAGTTCTTTAAAAAGATAAAACACACAACAAATTACATTTTTTGATCAGAGCAACAGCCACTCCTTCAATTGGTAATATAAGCAAGAACGATTTTGTATCTGTTTTGTTGTTGTTGCTGTTGTTGTTGTTGTTGTTATTGTTGTTGTTGTTGTTGTTTGATAATTTAGCCCTGAAATTTACTTTCACTGGCATCTGCTTAACATCCATTGGGTGACAATCCTAAAGTGGCCGGATTGGAGACTTATACTCCATAAGATCGGAATTTCTTTGGAAACATTTTAATCAAAATGTAGATCTCATTCAGAATTCTCACTTCTAGCTGTAATACCTGTCTGCATAACTTAGGTACGAGAATTTGGTTCCTTATCATTCAAGACTTTATAACTGACCATTTCTTCTATTCTCATCCACTGGTTGCAAGGTAACATCTTGATACTGTTGGGGGAAGTAACAACTTGATCACTTTCAACAGAGCACTTAATTGACACTGACCTTTTTTCTTTGGACAAGTACTCCAGCCTTTTCCCAATTCCTCTCTGAAAAGAGTAATAAAAAAGCAAGGATTTTAGAAAATCATATCGGATGCACTTATTGCCAGGGCGCCCTTGGCTAGTCTGCGAACTTGTCCTCATTACTTAGCTCTGCAGAACGCACGGTTCTCCACCCGAGGTAAGATTTGAGAAGATTTGGGGATCATTACAGAGTCCACTCGTAAAATTTGTTTAGAATTTTTTTTTTAATTGATATTACTGACCTTAAGGATAGAACTGAAACACAATGCCTTGTTTTCTTCATCCATGTACAATGAGGATCAATAGCTGATGAACAGGACCTGAAACACCAAGATGGTATCAGAAATAAAGCGGTAACTACTGTACTTGCATAGTTAAGCCATGGCTAATGGAGGAAACTCATCAGGAAAGAGAGAAAAATTCAAATTCTCCGAAAGAGCCAAAACCTATTCCTTTTTCTTGTTTTAGTTTGAACTGTACCACTCACCTGCGGTCCGTGTGATTGCCACACTGCTTCAACCTCAACTTTTTAAGAGCTGTGTCTGAGCCGAGGTAGAGGACACGCTGTAAATAAAACCAACATACGACGTTGAATAACCAACCACAGACTAAAACACAACGATGAACAACCAATCACAAACCTCTAGGACGACACCTTAACTGCTCAGTTGAAATTCACATTTACTAGTAATTGAGACATAATCTTACCTGTTTTGGATCAATCGTCATAGCTTTTATGACTTCTTGTCTGTTGATCTAAAACAAATAAAGAATTTGTCCATTTCAGATTCATCAAACCTTGATTTCGACTTGCAGGTAGTCACATTGAAGTCACTTCAGTATTTTCTAGAAATTGATTCCAGTCCCCCAGTAACAACTACTGACGATTTGACAATCTCAGTGGGGGCGGAAGTCACCTCGACGCTGATTATGACTTCCGCTCAGGTTGTTGATCGAAACGCCAGCCACTACCACCGACAACAGTTCTTTTCAGACAAGACCGATCGACCTTAAGAAATTTTTACGGCCACAATACTCACCGGAAAAAGGTCGATTTCGGTGAGAAGGCAGGGCTGAAGAAGGCCAGCAACTTGTGAAATTTTAAGCACAGATCCTCGGTCTACAAAAATAAATTTCATTATCTTTGAGCTAGCACTCTGCTACTTGTGCCGATGAGGCTGGAGACAGTTTAGTACGGTCGGAGTTCTCCAAGAAAACTTTTCGAAGTAAGCACTCCTCAAACACTTCTGGGGACATTTCAAAAAGAGTTTTAAACTTATCCCAGCAGAATTATATAAGATATGCTTCACAGCACAATGTGCATGGCCAAGAGAACTCTCACTATCGCCCTTTCCAATTAAATGTAAGATATTTACCTGCGTTTTCCCGCGCTTGGAACCGTTAGTGCGTATTTACCATGAGTTCTTATTAGTTACGTGATTGGTTGAAATGATTACTTTCTTTTTGGTTTGAACACACCCAAATCATGAAGCGATTTATTGTATCTTACAACCCCGGATTTAAGAAGTAGTGCACCTCTTTCTCGCAATACCAGGTGCCAGGTATGTTGAATTTACCTGTTGATGTGTATACAACAGTGCGTTCACCAACTTTGTCCAGAACAATGGCTGTCATCCTACCGCAGAAAAGAACTTTACTATGAGTACTAATCGGCGACTGTTAAGGACACGTTCAGTCACTATTTGAGGTACTCATTTTTTCCAAGGAACGATAATCCTTACATAGGTAGTTGTAGCGATAATCAACGATACACTGGTATCCAATTTTCATCTTTTAGCTTTAAAAACTATTCTGGAAAAAAATTGTTTTTCTCTTACCAGTGACTTTAATTGAGTTTTTAAACAGGAGTAAGTAGACTTCTCTTTACGATATTCTAAGTGTAATTACCTTGCACTCATAATACTTCGCACAAATTTCTTCATAGATAATGTTGACTATTTATATTCAATGCCAGACAAGAAAACGCAAATTTTAGGGGTTATGCTTTTTTTTTCATTTATTTTCCTTCCTTTCCAGGGGTTCTTATAACAGTAACTAACAACATGCGTGACAACGTGACAGCAGGCAAGTGTGACAATGATAATAATGCTATTAATAATGATAATAATAGTTATTTCATACCTATAAAGTTCTTGTAATAATGTTACATCAAAAGCACTTTACGGTACCACTACATTAGATATTGCGAAATTGGAATAAAAAGAGAAAAATGTTTCGCATGGAAAGGTAACAAAGATCCTCGAGTATCGAGTCACGGTACATTCGTGAACAAACCTGATCCCATCTTTGACAAACCAGGCTTTGTTCCCTTGGTTTTGAACCGAGTCGAGGCTGGTGGGTAGCACTGGATCACGCATAAGAGGATCGTGCAAGAGGTCTCGATACACTTTAAAAAGCATGTTCTTCGTTCCCATCAAACCGTCTGGGACTGGACGGGGTTTAGGAATCAAGTACGTCTTGTTTATTTTGCACTGAAGAAAATAAACATTTACTACATTGTTTATTAGTTACTTGTGTTAGTATCTTTACTTGTAAGTAAAAGGAAAAAGCAAAACGGAAGAGAGAGGGTGGGACTTGCTCGGTTTAACGCTTCCTTCTGTACTGTAATTATCAGAACAGGCTCCCAAGAAACCCACTGTCCTTCAATTGGAACATGTCTTCAGTTATTTGGGAGTAAAAGGGTTACAAGTAACAAGACTTCCCCCCCCCTTTTTTCAACAGTGGGTTGCCTGTGTTATCACTTACCCCCTCAAAATACTTTCTAAATTTGTTCTCCAAGGTCACCCACTTTCCACTGCCTGCCTCTCTACTCTTGAGAGGACTCGTGTGAAAAACATGATTGACATCCGTCAAATTGTACACACATATTGCTGATGATGGCGGGCCATTGCTGGAGAAAGACGTGAAAGAAAATTCAAATGGGTATTACTAGTGAGTAAATAAACTAGCTCGCAGTAATTTAGGTAATTCATCTCCTTCAATGTTTTTTGTAATTTTCAATTGTTTTTTTCCTTCGTAGGAAGAGGGTAGTGTCATTATTTGCTAACACCCAGATGCAAGCTCTGGATTTGGAAAGTGGAAAGCATGCAATTCTTTACTGACCTACAAAAATAACCCTTTGACCCATAGGAGTGATTAGTATTAAATTTTTCAGCACAATATTACCCCCGAATCTCACACTGAAGCCACGCGAATAAGGGAAATGATCCCCTACTAAAGAAGACCACACCCAAAGAAAAATTTATCTGTACCTTTTTCTCATCTAATTCTTGTATTTCCTTCAACAATAGCTACTCAAGAGCAGAACGGAACTTATGAAATACTTACGGATGAGAGGTGAAAATTGCATGAAACAGGTTGGTTTCTGAATCCCACCAAACATCCTCTGCCGAAGAAATAACATAACAAAGTCAGTTTTCTTTGCTGTATTACACCACAGAAAAGACCTTAATTATTTCCTCATGAGTCAATACGTATTTTGTACTGTGTTAACCCCTCAACCCTTTCACTCCCAAAATCACATTAGCAATTCTCCTTACTGTCTACCATACAGTTCTGGTGATGTTGGTTTGGAGAATTTGGTATTGGGTCAACTTATATTCCCTTAATTTCTATTTCTCTTTATTCTCATCCCTTGTCTGCTTGACATTGTATTGATATTGTAACGAGAAATTCTGTCTTGGTCACTCATGGGAGTTAAACTGTTAACCTCTTAGAGTGACTAGCATCTAATTTCTCTTGACAACATCATGCCCAAATCATACATTGAGATCATAAGAATGAAGGAAATGATCACCAATTAAAAGATCCTGACAATATCACCCCCAAATCATAATTTAAGGTTATGAGAATACAAAAGATGATCACCAACTTAAAGAAGCTCTTGAGTGTTAAACTAATTCTCCTTGTCAGCACCCTAGGAAATGCATGAGTTTGAAGAATATGCTTACTAATGTTAGCTGGGTACAATGGGTTAGGTCAATCTAAATGGCACATCAATATCATCCCCTAGCTGCCTTACCATCAAGTTTCCTTCTCAGCATTACATAGTAATAGCGGAACTCGCAGAGCGTAGCCCCATAATTATACAAAATAGTAGTAGTAACCCATAAAGCCTAAAAAATTGGGATGTACGACCATATGACCGTACGGCTGTACAAGATGCTACTTTTAACATGCGTGATCAAATGTATCGTGGGCACACCAACGCCACGGCTTTGTCCAGTAGTCTAGTGATCAGTGCACTGGGCTCCGAGTCGGACAACCCGGGTTCTAGTCCTGGCCAGGGTAAGGCATTGTACCCTTGAGACATGCGGGAAAAAAATGCGAGCTCCGCTTTTAGGCTTGGCTAAATCTATATACTATGCGATATTTAATAGTAAAGGTCACTTACGAATTTCGTTGAAATATACTGGATATTCTCCTCCATCAGAACAAATAAGTTTGGCCTTCTGGTACGTTATAAAAAACTTTCTGAGTTTAAACTGACCACCATAGTCACCCTAATAAAGAGAAAGAGAAATTTCTATTAATGAAGAACATCAATAAAACATTATAACTTAATGACACAGTGAAGTTTGGACAGACGGGAAAATACTGGGCTCTTGGTCATGACTCACAAATAACCACTTTATCATTAAGGACCACTGCTCTTTCTATTGATTTCTTTCTCCTTACATTTTCATCATCTTGCATCTTGAAGGGCCTTTAACATACACTGAGCCACCCACCTCTGTTAAATGTTTTTTGATGAAAGCCCGGACAGGGCAGTACTGGTCATATCATTATATCTATAATCATTGTTATTTGTCATTTATCTAGGATGCTTCAATTAATTGGCTGCCATACTACAGCAATTCATTTATTCAAAACTCACTGACAGATTTTACTTCACAGATACTTGGTACAGATATGTTACAATAACAAAAAATTTGCTTCTAGTATACCTTACATACACGTGCTACCCTGGAGACTTTATACTTTCCACAGCTTGCGCATTCCAATGTTCCCTCACGAAAAAAGACATACACGTAATTCCCAATGATGAAACTCTTGACAAAATGTACATCTACATGAATAAAAGTTTAAAAAGATTAAGTAATGAAAATGTCATAAAATATACCTGGAAGAACAATTACTTCTGAGGATGCAAATTTCTCTGCATCATGTTCTTGCACACATTGTGCATGCAAATAACACTTATCAAGACTTCACTGCCATGACAACAAATATCTTTTGAATCCTGACCATCACTGATGCATAAGGAGGGTCCCCAGGTAAAAATATAAGGTGGGATCCTGCCAATCCCACCTGGGATCCCAGGTGTGTCCCGGGTGGGATCCCGCCTTTTTCAGGTGGGATCCCAGGTGGGATTATGGAACATACCGCATGGGATCCCACCTGGGATTATGGAACATCCCACATGGGATCCCACCTGGGATTATGGAACATCCCACATGGGATCCCACCTGGGATTATGGAACATCCCACATGGGATCCCACCTGGGATTATGGAACATCCCGCACGGGATCCCACCTGGGATTATGGAACATCCCGCACGGGATCCCACCTGGGATTATGGAACATCCCACATGGGATCCCACCTGGGATTATGGAACATCCCGCATGGGATCCCACCTGGGATTATGGAACATCCCGCATGGGATCCCACATGGGATCCCGCCAATTGAAGTTGGGATCCCACCTTAAATTCCTAATAGCAACCCACCTGGGAAAGCACATCCCGGGCGGGATTAAACCTAGAATCCCACCAATCCCTATTGGGATCCTGCCTCAAATTTCAGTTGGTTCCCACCTGGGAAATCATATCCCAGGCGGGATTGCATCTGGGATCCTGCCAATCCAAGTTTAGGTCCTGCATAAAATTACAGATGGCTTCCCACTTTCAGAAAAAACCTTTGAGGGATCCTGTTTATCACTGGAGACCACAGATTTATGAAATGTACCAGATGGGATATCTTATCAATTCCTTTTGTAACCTAATCCTTAAAATTAAGAGGATAAAATTTTCTAGGTGAGCTATAGACCCCATCAATCCACTGAGGGTCCAAAACTTTCCAACTAGCTATAGAACATACTGACACCTCCAATGGGATCCCATTGTCTTACCAAGCTGTTAATCATAAATGATTCAAACAGTACATGAATACAGAGACTATATGTAATAAAGATCTCATAATTTATTTGCAATGAACCAGCATGTGTTTGACTTGTTTCATTAACAAATTTCTTAACCGAACATTTTCAAAGAATAACAGTACAACTCAGCATATTACTTTTCCTTCATCATTTAAGCAGACCATCTACAGTGTAATAAGGCTCTTCACCAAACCATGGAGGGCATGTAAATGTAAACAAATAGAACTGCATTTGCAGCTACCCCTTTGCAACTACTCCTAGCATTATTTATTGACACTTATTACTCACACCAAAATATTGATCAAACTTACCAAAGTAAAGGTCTCTTTCAGACGTAAAATCAGTGGCCAGTTCTCCAATTCTGGGCTTAAAACTCTTACTATGAATCATGGATAATCTTGTTGCCACATTTATTGTTCCTCTGAAGACTCTTCCATCTTCTGTAAAAACCAAACAAAGCCGAAAACTTAAAAGTTTAGAATCAGGCATTTTTAACCAGCCTATCTCAAATTATCCACAATTCGCATACCCTTTGTGTTGTTCCAGATACAGAACCCAATTATAACATTACTGAACTCTTCAAGCCTGAAGATTTGATTGTTAATTCTCCCCTCCAGCTGCTTACACTGATCTCTTTGCAAAATCAATAACAAGAATTTGGTGTTTGATCAAGATATATGTTACTATTTCTCTTTCAGGGTTAACAGTGGTTCTTTTGAGACAGACTCGTCAGTGTCAGTTATGTAGGAGGCATTATTGAGAAGAATGGAATATGACAGAACCAGAATCTAGTTTTGTACTGCAGGTCATAAAACCAGAACCTATGCTAAGGTTCATTTCCCTGTAAGAGTCACAATTACTGACTCAGCAAACAGTCTTTGCATTCAATTTTAGTTTTAAGTCTCTACAACGTCAGCAACCACTTCACAAGGAAAACAAAATGTAAAGCACATCTTAACTGCCAAATTCATTTTGTCAATAATTTCCTGCTGTTCATTGATTTTATAGGTTTCCTTTTTTAAGATAACTGTTCTGTCTACTAATTTGTTGGTAGTTAAAATGTTGAGACATAAATTGTAACCTAGTTTGAAATAAACAGATCTTTACACCTTGTTTGTCTGGCTCCAGTTGTTGAAAGGCTGGATAACACTATCCACTACACAAGTCTCTTTTTAGTGGTTAGCACAGTACATCTTGTTACCACTCAGACACTAGACTGTGATTTATACAATGGATAGCACCATCCACTCAAACAAAAATTGAGCCCATGTTGTTTATACATCATGTAGACATCATAAGACAACACTTAAATTTTCTTTCCAAATTAATCATATCCTTTCTTGTATGCACACTTTATTTCCATACCCAGAGAACATTAACCTAGCTTTCTGAGGATTTCTCATGATCTGTGATGCATGATGGGATTTCACCCAAATAAAGGTTCACTAGTGTTCTTCTCAAATGCTCACAGTCATCTTAACACAAACCTGTTATGACACCCGTGTCATTTTGACTTGGTCTGCTATAATAATTTTCATCATTTATAAACTCATTCTGATTACTATCTCTGCCTGGAGCTGCATCCAAATTTGTCCTCTGAAAATAACAGAGAGACTGTTGAGTGATTTAGAGCAGAAATTCTCAAAAAAAAAGAATAAGCTAAAATCACCATTTAAATATGCACATTTCTACTCCTCCTTTCCACTAGCCATTCTGGGGTTTTTTGGCCATAATGCTCCATACTGCCACAACTTCAGGTCAATATTCCCCAGTACAACCCCTTGAGCTGGGTAAATAAGACATGAGTCTTCACCTTCCAATTGAGACATCCTTTTTGTTATTACCTGATGCAAGCCACTTCTTGCCTATGTTATTTTCGACCCTTAATATAACTCTGATTTTTTAAAAGCTTGGTCTTTAAGTGTTGACTTGCTAGTTATAAATGTTTTTATCCTAATCTGGACCTTCACTTATTGAAGTCAATTAATGCATCAAAATTATAATAATCTTCATTGACAGGAGATAGAGGTTTCAAATTTTCCTGTTTTTCAGGGAACTGAGAACCTGTTGCACAAAAGGCTCTCTCATTAGTTCCTTTTTATCTGGATTGCTTCAATTAGATGGCAAATAATTAATTACATTTCTCCAGGTGCAGCCCACTGTCAGACAGATAAATATCCTCTCCTCAAATGGCAGCATTAACTTCACATAGTTATAGCAAGAACCATTCTACAATCAAGATGTGATAGACAAGACTTAATAACAGCACTCAATCAGACAAAAAATATCTGGGATAATTTACATAACTGACTAATTAACTTCCAGGCTATGATGGACCCACAAGGGTTGTGGAGGGTATAGTGACAAACAAAAAAGTCTCCGATGAAAAATAATAGCATCCCTATCATCTCACATACAATGCAGATCTCACATTATGGTCCTTTTAGAGTCAAGGTTTCAGAAGGAAATTTCAAAACAAAGAACATTTTAGATTTTGGAATGTAGTACTTGTAAGTGTTTTGAGGAACATAGATGGGAAGGTAGACATTCATGGCTATACCCTGTAGTTTCATTACAAGACAGCACACATTTGCTTATTCTACAACAAGCCCTCAACTTCCCTCACACACCCTCAATTAAAGACTGGAATTCCTTGATTACTAAACCCCAAGCTCCCTCAGCTTCCTTAGACCCATTCTGTCAAATTTCTGGGATCCATCCCTATACCAGGGTGAATTCTGAAAAGCCAAGTCATAAATTGCTTCACATTTTACTGAAAAAGAGTTGGTGTTAATCTAACAGCAATCAATCATGAAGCTCACAAAATGTGCAAATATTGTATAACAATTTATCATTTGAAGCTGTTTAATTAACAATTGTTATATCCACCTGTCCTTTATCACATCCAAGGCTTGGGCTGGTCAAATTCCAGGACTGTATGAGATAGACAAATAAAGTTATTAGTACTAATTAAAAACACACCAAACTTTAATCTCGGAACAGCCTCTAAAAACACTACTGCCAAAAATTTAGCCCTTACTTCAAAACTATTTATGTCTCCCAGATCCACTAGGAATGCATTTTCTCTGCAAAACATAACATAACATATTAAACAAATGCACTGTCCACCTCAATATGTCTAACAAAACAATAATACAGTAGAAAATGAGTATTGAAAATCAGGACATTATGGCACCATAAAAAAGTGTTTTAGCCTATAATAACTCACCTTGCTCCTACGAGTAGTTGATTATACCTGCTGTCAACTGACAACACCGAGTAATTTCCACTCTCTATCCCCCCTGTTTTCAGTGTCTCCATGTGGTGGTTGACAACTACGAAGATAACAGAATTAATTGACAAAACTTTGCTTCCTTCATTCCTTACTTAACCAGAAATCAAAAACAAACTGCTTCCTGCTTCCTGCTTCCTCACCCTTTACCTGGCAAGATCTGATACTTAACAAATCTTCTGCCTGTTATGTGTAAAGCCTATATTTCCTTTAAAGTAAGTTCAAAAAGCTTACACCCAATCACCCTCAAAGTGATCAATGAATAATTTTTCCCCACAGTTTATATCAATAAATTGCCAAGAAGAAAGGTAGTGAGATGAAAAAAAGCAATCTCAGGGATATTGCTTGATTCAACACCAAATTCTCCAGACTTAAATCATAAAAAAAATGTATGGCATACAGTGATGAAAATTGATGATAAGATCTTGGGAGTGAAAGGTTTAGGTATTCTTATGTCAGTGCAACAACCCCGAGCTGATAATTTTTTTTACTCTCACTGATTGTGTACTGGAACATATAAGGATTTTATCCATCAAGGGTTGCATAATTCTCAAAAAAATTTGCAATTCCCTCCACTATCTTAAATTCATATGTAAAGAACATTATCCTATCAATCTAAACACTCCTACAGCATTCTTTAAAGCTCATTATGCATTGAAACAGTGAATTCTTGGGGGGGAGGGGTGGGGAATTTTGGGATTTTTTTTTCTTAATCAGCAGATAGTCCACAGGACAAGAAGCTGAAGAAACGATACCCGAGTCTAGTACATCTCAATACAGATGGAAAAGGACACGATTCCTCTAAGAAAACTATGTGCTATGGCATACTTTACATGAAATGTAGAAATGTAAACTAGAACCCTATAATAAAACACCAAATTAAATCAAAGTGAAAAGAAAAACTTTACCTGTAAGAAAAATGGAAAGCAACATAATAAAAATCCTCATTAAAAAATTCTGGAAAAGGCGTGTGACCCTCTACTTGAATAGCTTACAAAGAAGTATGACCCTCCCCTTGCAATTTGTCTAAAAGATGGCGATTCTCAATATTTTTTCGGATTTGCAAAATGTTTTTTGGATTGTCCTTTTTCGGCTTCCGTACATTCAACTACTTCCCGGCGCTTAATATATTTAACTGCCAAAACATTGAACAATTTTGAAGTGTCATCATGATGTTGATTTTTGTTCAAATTACTCTTGTAGCTAAGCAAGGACCGAGCTCTTTGATGCCAATATCTTCAAACTGATTTAAAATACCTTCGAGTTAATGAGATGCCCTCCAGGCTGGCATGGTTTATTGTTGAATTACTCTGTTCAAGAGGGTATGAAGTTTCCAAAACAACCCTCTTAAGCGGTGACAATACAATGCCAAAATGAATGAAAACTGATAGAAATGCCTCAGTACATAAAGACTGAATCTTGTACTTGCGTGTGATTTCAATTCGATAATTGATAACGGGTCTCAGAACATACCTTCGAAATGTACTCTTGAGTGCGGTTCGCCATTGAACGCCACCACAATCCAACCAGATAATATTGCAAAATAGCTCAGAAGTAGCACATACAGCTTGTTCCGTTGCTTCATTTCTTGCAGTCGGGCTGCGAATTGATCAGACGATACATTTGAGAACCATCAACAACCAACACCATGTCTACATTAATTACATGGGTACGTCATAGTGCTGGAATTACCTAATTATGAACTAATAACTCATTTGCATGATGACGTCACGTGCGCAAGGTATCACGGTAGTTGTAGTTAGCATTAACATTGACATGGCGGACAGTGATGAGCATGGTGGTGTTGGTGGATTTTATTGCTATGTTCCTGGCTGTTACAATAGTTCGATGAAGGATAAAGGTCGTCTCTCATTTTATGTTATTCCCAAAGGTGGCAAACTTCGAAAATTATGGTTAAACAAGATCTCAAGAAAGGGTTTTAATCCCAAAACATCTCAGTATCAGGCTACCGCGTCTGTTCAGAACACTTCGAAGGAGGTCGTAAAACCTGTAGAATTAATGTGCCCACTATATTTCCACTTAATAAATCACATCGAACTTAAAACCCTAAACCACGACAACAGTTTAAACGGCAATTTGAGTGTGTCAACACTGAAAAATAACTACGAAAACAACGAGATCGATTCTATTCTCGACAAACAAGACACACAAAGCCAGAGATAGATAGACCACGTTTTATTAAAATCACCTTTCAGTCTGACAACTGAATTGCGTGAATTTACAACAAATTGTGGAAAAAAATCGTAAAAAACGCGACAACTTGTCTATTAATTTATCCTAGTTATAAAAAAGTATAAAAATCCATTTTATTATTTGATTATACATGACTTCGTTGCTGTGCTTATTAATAAATGAGTCAGCCGATCCCTTCGTTTTGGTGGATGGCAGTTGATATTTCCGTTTCTTTATGAGGTTGTATGCTGGCTTGTTGGAGGCTGGAATTAAGTCGTGGATCTTGCTAGACGGGTTGTTAGCTGTCCACTGAAAGAGTTGCAAAGTCAGTTTTTCTTGATGATCTCGTAGGTTGTCTATTCCGACAAGCTGAGGGGCATTTGCGTATGATATTCTCGGGAAAATGCACGAGAGAGCTCTCCTCTGGACTCTCTAGTTCAACTCGTAGATACTTAGGTAATGCGTTATACAACACTGGGCATGCGTAGTTTAATGCAGATCTAATACATGCACAGTAGTAAGCTACATGATCTTTTGACGGAACATGTGCCGTTTGATCTGAACAAGAAAATAGTGTTTTGGAGACGATTTCGTGACAAGTTCTTCGATGGGATCCTTTCAAGTTAAATTAGGGTTGATCGTAAGTCCGAGTAAGTTGGCGCGTTGTACTAGTTCGATAGGAACTCCGTTAACACATGCCCTTGGAAACGGTGGTCGTTGAGGATTGAAGTAGATGGTAAGTTCCTCTGTCTTATCGTAGTTTAACTGAAATAGATTGTCCTTTGACCAATCGTGCACCTGATCGACCGCAGTCTGTGTCTCCCTCTGCTGCTCTATGGGAATGGTTTCGGATACTGTTTTGTCATCAACGTATTTCCACGTGTTGAAAATTTCGGAAACTGACAGATCACTGATCATGAGAATGCTTTAAACAAGCATGCGCCAGTTAAATTGACGGTTGCTTCTCTATAACATCTATTTGAAAATGATTGAATTTTCCCGCAAAAAGACTCTAAAATAAAGTACAGGCGCCTTTTTTTTTTTTAATTTTTCGAGCGTATTTCTTTCATATCTTACCGATGAAAATTACTTCTTTGCTTGTGAAGTGTCTTCGGTATTTGTTCAAGATTCGTTGAAACAATATTCTTCGTAATCTTTATTGTCTCATGAAGTAAGCCAGTTAGATGGTGTTTCCTTTGATAAGTTTTATTCAATAGGCCATTTTACAGTTGTGTGCTTAGTTGCCAAGCCTTTAATTTGGAGTGAGGCTGAAGGTGACCTTGTTGTGATAGAGACCAGTATCTAGTTAGCATGATAACAAAGTAATTTGCATTTGAAAAGCAACAAGGTTTGTATCATAACGAGGTCACCCTTAGCCTCATTCCTGTTCAAAGGCTTGGCAACCAAGCTCACAACTGTAAAATGGACTGTTGTAATATCTTAATTCGTTAATTGAATTTCTTTTCAATTGATTCAAAAGGTGACTTTTGGCGGGAAAATTTGGACGAATTTGCGCAGTTTCTCCTTGCAACTTTTTTACATAAAATTAAAGAGGTTTCGTTTTTCATTTTTCCTACCAAAAATTTCTGAACATTACCTCGTGCAAAAAATTCAAGACTAATTGCCAATTTTCCTTTGTATTTTAAAAAATTCTCAAGATGGAATTTCAATTTTCCTTTTTACGAAAATTAAATCGAACATAACTCTTAAAAACGTTTCGCTTCCAGATTCAAATTTTTTTGCAGAGATAATGTTTCCGACTTTAAAATATAGAGAAGCAACACAAAGGGTTATAGCGTTTCCGATGAAATTTTTTCATGGCCGAGAGACACTATCCTTCCCACATTTGAATGTTTTTTTTTCCTATTTAATTGCGAATTCTGAGCTCAAAACTTTTCATGTTGCTTCTGACAGAAAAAATAACATTTTCTGCTGTCAGCTTTTGTTTGTAACCCAGGTCAAATGGAACTTGAGCGCACAAAAAAGTTTTTAAGTAACTTTGATTTATCTTCATGGAAAATTATTTTACTGAATGTTCACCTTGTAAAAGAAAATAATCCTCTTCAGTTCAAAATAGTTTCTTTTTATTTGCAATTTTCTAAGCAATTTGTCATTGAAGTGACCTTCAAGTTGTAGACACGAGCAAGTGCTATTGTTGCTTTCGAAGAAAGACTTCAGTATAATTTGATAGCCTTGCTCGATTTTCCTCATTCTCATCCTTTTCCTCTTCACCAAGATAATTTCCTAAAACACATGTAAAGCATTCCGCTGATAGGCAACGAGACAAACTGGGTTTTCATTGACAAGTGATTTACGCAGTTCTCTAGCTAAAAGTATATCACTGAAACGCAAACTGAACAAGTGCGCGAAGTCATTTTGCCAAATTTTGCCTTGATGCGTAACTTCTACAAGCAAAGGTGGAAGAAACTTATGAAATACACCAGCAGATTCTACCACAAAGATAGTCTTGCAAGACATGAGAATTGATCAATTGCATGCACGAGGAGAAGTCGGAGAAGTTAAATGCGTTGCAGGTTTTCTGTTGCCTTCCCGATTTTAAATTTTCAGTACATTTAGTTTAAGTTATAGCTAATCTTTCTGGCCACAGTGCAGAAATAAACTGTTTCTTGATCTTGCCCTCGAATTCGAGAACCAACTAAGATAACATTCTGCAGCTAAACTCTAATATTTTCCAATAAGAGTGACATGTTTACCTTTGCGTCGTGGTTCTCCATATGCCCTAAGAAACCGTAATAAACTTGACCTCCTGACAAAGACACGGTACGAGAACGGCCCCTAGTAACTATTAGCTCGAGGTGCCGTTATTTGCGTGAGTTATGTCAAACCAAACCAGAGAAATTCAGCTAACCAAGTAATCTAACTTTTCGCTTAGCAAAATGCACCTTCCTTGAGCCCCACAATCCAGAACTTGTTATATTTCCGTAACATTTCGACACCGACGGCAAAAAAGCAACTTCTGATACGAGGTCAATACGTTTTTAAATTGATGGTGTAGTTCGGTAAAAAAAGTAAAAACCTCAAAGACAAACAGTAAACTCTTATCTTTCTCCACACCTTCCTCCCCTCGAGTGCACTCTGCCAACTCTTCTTAATAATGCGTGGTCTGAGAATGGTATGCCCGAGGGAGGATTTTATTGTCGTGGATCGCGAGTAATTGTGCGGGCACATCGTCGTGGGTCGCGGAAAACATTGAAAAACACTAAATTTGCGTGATCTGGCGACGGTTTCTCTCTAAGGACCTACTTCACGTGGGTCGGGGTAAATTGTAGCGGGGTGCGGGTAAATCATCGCGGGTCGTTGGTCGCAGATAAACAGTCGTGGGTAACTTGTGGCGGGTCGCTGGTAAATTAACGCGGGGGGCAAGAAAATTGTCGCGGGCGCGTTGTTTCCTCGACTATTCTACTACTTATAAAATGTATAAGCAACGCTTACACGAGACAAGTTACGGTAAACTTTAATTTTTGTTCAATAATACACAACAGTTGATAACAGTAATCAAATGAGATTTTTGGGAGACAAAAAAACTCCAGTTCCGATTGGGGAGTGCCTTAAACTGAATACACAGCAAATTCTATAATCAAACAGCCTAAATACATACGTATTCAAACTTTATCTCCCTTCGGTGAGCAATGTTATGAGGTTCCTTTACATAAAAAAAACCTATAATAAATGTGATTATCGTAGAGAAGAACATTTCTTACTTTTTATTTCCAGCTCTACCCTCGTTGAGACGAAAGTTAGACGGCGTAGAACCAGGTATTTCTACGTTCTTAATAATTACTACAAACCCAATTGGGAAGCCGGCAAAGTGCGTCTAACGACCACAGCTGATAATCGTGGTTTTTAAACCAAGATGATTAAAACAATCTTGGTTTTCGCCAGAGACCTCCTCTATCTGAATATCATAAATGCGACAGTGCTCCCTTATCATATTCTTTTCTAAAAAAATAAACTCCCCCCAATATAATTAACACAAACGAGGATTGTCTTGTAGAGATATAGACACACAAAAAACCAAAAGATTACAATTTTGCACCTTGGAGTCACACGACCTCCTCCAACCTAACTAGTTAATTTTTTGTGATTCCATACTGTTCAATCATGATTACTCATCTTTGCGGAAACTTCACTGAAGATATAATCTCTAGAATGAAATAAGCAAATCCATAGGATTCACTTTCGCATCGTATGCGAAAAATAATGAGAATTCTCTCCTCATTAACTCACGGATTCACTTAGCTCGCAGGCAGCAAAACAGGACTTTTCTTAATTCCCCTTATCCGATTCCCAGCTTAACGAAAATAAAAATTAGCTTCTTGTCAGTTACACCTTTGTTTCCGGGTGGAACAGGTTACGTGACCAGAAGATGCAAAATGGCTATTCATTCTCCAGCGTTTTATTTCTTTTATTAGACAACATGCTATGTAATATAAAAACAATTTATGGTCATATATAGAATTAGCTACACATGACGAATTTAAGCGAGAAATTTGGACTTCCTCCAATTCCAAAAAAATGTTAAACGGTTATCTACACAATAAATAGATGAATAATCCTTTACTAACATATTTATGAAACGCTGCGCATTGGACGATATGTCACGAACGATATAGGATGTATAGTTTTTCCCCAAAGGTGAACTATCTCGTACACCATCTAAATTTAATTTTTTGCAAAAAAAAAGAGCTTAAAACTGACGCCCGTTTAGAGCGGAATGAAGTCTTCCGTAGGAAAACAGTTTTAATAATCGTGCAATATCGAGACGTCATCAAACCAAATTGCTGATAAATGTTGGTAAGTTTTGAAACGAATCATGCGCTCTAGCCAGTCTATAAATGGGAAGGGAATCCACAAGATATTAAAAGTATTTACAACCGTCTAACTATATTTTGAAGACGCTTCACCAGTATGCAGCCTTGCTCGCTCAAAACGCGTTCCTTTGTTCCTCTTCGACCCTGCCCACAAAATCTGGAACGTGCAGGCGAGTAACTTACCCACTTGCAATCATACTGCACAACGAAAGAATTTTTTCCAAAGCTGCGGGGAAACGCCTCGTTTTCCATTCCCTTGAACCAAGCATTTAAGCTCGACGACATCTGCTTTGAACTGAGAATAGTACCTCTACTCTTTGATCTAATTCGTTGAGCCGTGATATTTGATAGTCCTCCAACCAGGAAAGGGTGGGGTGGGCTGATGCCCCTTCCCCCTCCTCTCGCGCAACAACAAAAGGGTCTGTGTGGGAGCGACGGCCCATCGAATTCAGAAAATAAATTGCGCGACAGTTGACAGTCGTAGGTTGCCTTGACCGAGGTGCACTAGGGCGGGTCCTTTCTGTAAACAAAATCTCCGTCTAATTCCCTAAGCTATACACTTTCGCTCGGAGCACGCTCTGTTCTACACAGAATAAACCCTTTAAACGCTAAACACGGATTTTTCCTAGTGTTTCTGTTGTTTTCTTTACTCTGACTTTCTGAGGATGGACGACCTCTCGTAGATACACCATTCTCTTTTGTGATTGGCGAGTAGAGACAATCACTTTTAGGACTACGTTCAGGAGTTTTTGGAACACTGTATGATGTTGATTCTTCCTTCTGTTTTCGTTTAACGCAATAAAGACCCAGAACTACCAAGATGATCACCACAAGGCCGACTGACAGCCCGATTGCGAGACCACTTACAAACTTTGATCCTTCAGTCTCTTCCGAGTCAGTTCGCCTTCCGGAAACTGCTGCAATCCAAAAATACATATCTATTAATGAAATCTGTCTCACACCTGTAACAATTCGCATTAAAAATCACATCCAGATGTGCAAAACTACCACAATTGCTGTTGATCTCACTCACTCACTCACATATACGAAGACTCGAAAGGTGACGAAAATTTACTCAAATCGAGTTAGCCCAGAGCAAAAACAACAACAACAAAAAATGGCTGTTGGAAGATAGGTAAAATGTCTGGAATAAGCCGTGTGTCCTGCTTCCAAAAACTTTTACTTAATAAAAATTCTCTGAAAAGTTTATTCCTTTTGTCTCACGCTTTTGATGCAAACTTTGCGGAGACCATCTCAGATATTCAACTTACCAGTACTACAATTGCAAGTTCCGTACTGGACGGTATTAGGACATTCCACTGAGTTAGGACAGTCCCTTCGGCACTTAAGTTGCCGAGACCTGACACCACTCCCGTCAGGCAGTTTTAGATCATGATTACACTCGCACACAGACCACACGTCCCAGCTATTAGTGTCGAGTTCACCTAACCGCGAAAAAACAAAGCCTTTTAAGGAACCATCTAACACCACTATCGTCCATTTAACATTGCGCGAAACATTCAATATGCGTTACGCAGGTAGGTAGATGCTCCAAAAGCCGCGCCTAATGAAAAAAAGATGCCTTTTGCGAGGTACCAAAGAACCATCATTTCAGTTATAGCGTTTTAAAAAACGCTGCTCCAGACCCCACACGCAGCAGCCTATTGCGAAGCGCACTGGATTTCGCTTCGAGAGGTCCAGGTTCGAGGCCTGGCCGATTCACTGTGTCAGGTTGTCGAGCAACACATTCAACACTCACAGTGCCTCTCTCTCCGCCCAAGAATACGACTGGGTGCAGGCGAATTGCCTGGGATGGGGAACAAGCATTCCATACAAGGAGTTCAACTCTCCTTGTCGCTTAATACAGCGCATTGCGGGAGTAAGTCCAGCGGTTCAAGTCACGTGGCTATACTGCAGATCACACCGAGAATATAGTCTACGACAAAGTCAATCTTTACAGCTGACCTTTACAGTTGCTGGGTGAAGTTGGTTCACAGCTTCTTTCTTGTAACCTTTCCCCAACACAAGGCTCCACTTTACAATCTCTTCTTCTTATTTGAAATCCTTCCCCAGAACACTGACCCCAATCGCGCCAGGCTTTCCATTCTCCCTCTAACACAGGAAAAATATCACAACTTTACCCGATAGCTCTTCAAATATTAGCTGCACCATGCACATAGCTTGCGGTTAAACAGTCATTAGCAGTTAACTTTACTCTCCACTTGCATTGCACAAAGCCTGATTGTGCGCAAGGGCGTTTTTTCCTTACTAGTAAAACAGACCAGCAACCAAAAAGAAGAAGATCTCACTATTTTCTGCCTGCTATCTCGTGAAGATGTAATTACCATTTTCACAGTGGTTATGGCAGAACATCGTTAACTGAAAATGGAGCGATCTGCAGCAAGACGCGCGAACGATAGAAAGACACGCCTTAACACGTTAAGCCGATGAGAGTTTGAAGCAGTGCTTGGCACAGAAGAGTGCAGGTGACAAACTCGTGAATGATTTTAGACTTGCATTTAATTGGTGGAGATGACGACGTGATGACGTGATGACATGATGATGCAATGAAGTAATGACGTGATGAAGTTTGTGTTCACTTTCCACAACACTTCTTACCTCCACAGAGATCTCTTTGTTTCTCGCAATCAAATGTCTTGTTGAGTATTTCAACACTGATGTTAGATATGTTATATCCAGTGGTTTTAAAGATCACTTCAAAATGAACACCCTTGTTTTCCGATAGGTTTAAAGATCTTGTTGGGTTTGTTAACAGCCGTTTTTCCACCTCTGATCGACGAAAAAACAAAAGACAGGAAAAATTGTAAAAAAAAAAAACCACACACACACACACGCACAAAAGGAGTTTCGGGCGACTTTTTGTCAAATAGGCGTTTTACAGGTACAAAGACTTGTCTGAACACTTTTGTTGATGTTGTTTATTTTTGTTGTTGTTGTTGTTTTGCTGTTTCTATTGATGCTTCCAAAAATTTGGCCCTCAAAGTTAACTAAAAAAAAGCAAGCTTAAGGTAAACATCAATTTTTCTTTACGCTTGGGAAGGTAAACGATATAAAATTTCTCCGAACACAAAAGTTTCCTCTCACACAAAAATTTGTAAAAAATTCAGCTTTTTAGTTGAGTCATTACGAGAAACCATGAAGACCAATGAAATTAGACAGTACTTTTTAACATAACCCTTAACTATACGCACTCAACGACTCATATTTTTTATTAACCAGTAAGTGCTGTAACTTTAAAGTAACAGAAGACCATTTACCAGCACTTCTTACCGTGTTTTCCCAAGTTACAGGACTCATATTGCACAGCCTCTCCTACACACGGTCTCCCTCCTCTCCTGGGGACCGGATTAGTACAGTTTCTTGTCCGCTTTCTTACCCCAACCCATGGCTTTGTTTCACAATCCGTCCAAGTATCCCATGCACTCCAGTTGCCGTGTTGCACACCATACTTCTCCCATTCCTCTCTCTCAGATCCGACAATAACGTTCACTGAAACAACAACCAAAAAAATCTACTAAAATCGGCCATGGGAGGTAAACAAATCATCAACATCTTTTTGAACATTAATTGCGAGTAAAATAGTTCCAGTTTCCAGGGAGAGTTCAACGCGACTGTTGAATAGTTAGCCTCCATCGGAACTGAATGAATTTGCCTGTTGATCACTCTTTTCCAGCACCTCCCCGCTACTATCTATAATTGTGTAGTTTTTAGAGAGTCATCAGTGTTTCAGCGGTAATTTTAGGACAAAAAGAAAAGGAAAATAAAAAATACGCGTAGAAGGAGAAGGAAAATCCTTAGCAAACCTGTGCAGTTTTCAAATCGTAACTCATATCCACCCTGACAGGAGGAGTTTTGCCTGTCCTGGCAGGGACGAAATTGACATCGACAGAGATTTCCATCACTGCCTTCACAAGTTTTCCAAGGGGACCATGCGATTTGTTCTTTAAAGATATAAAACACACAACAAATTACATTTTTTGATCAGAGCAAAACCCAGTCCTTCGATTGGTAGTATAAGAAAGAAAGATTTTGTATCTGTTTTGTTGTTGTTGTTCTTTGATAATTTAACTTTGAAATTTACTTTCACTGGCATCTGCGTAACATCCATTGGGTGAAAATCCTAAAGTGGTTGGATTAGAGACTTGTACTCCATAAGATCGGAATTTCTTTGGAAACATTTTAACCAAAAAATGTAGATCTTATTCAGAATTCTCCCTTCTAACTGCAACACCTGTCTACATAACTTTGGTACGAGAATTTGGTTCCTTATCATTCAAGACTTTATAACTGACCATTTCTTCTATTCTCGTCAACTGGTTGCAAGGTAACGTCTTGATACTGTTGGGGGAAGTAACAACTTGATCACTTTAAACAGAGCACGTAATTGACACTGACCTGTTGTCTTTGGACAAGTACTCGAGCCTTTCCTCAATTTGTTTGAATCTCTGAAAAGAGTATTAAAAAAAAGCAAAGAGTTTTAGAATATCACATCGGATTCACTTACTGCCAGAGTGCACTTCGCTAGTCTGCGAACTTGTCCTCATCATTTCGCTCTGCAGAACGCGCGGTTCTCCGCCCGAGGGGAGATTTGAGAAGAGTTTGGGATTATTACAGAGTCCACTTGAAAAATTTGTTTACATATTTTTTTTTTTTAATTGATGTTACTGACCTGGAGGATAAAACTGAAACACAACGCCTTGTTTCCTTGTTCCATGCACAATAAGGATCAGAAGCAGATATACAGGACCTGAAATACGATGGTGGTGTCACAAATACAGTAACTACTCTACACGAATAGTTAAGCCATAGCTAATGGAGGAAACTCATCAGGAAAGAGAGAAAAAATCTAAGTGGGAGCTCCTAGTTAAAAATTTATGGAATGCTAGTGAACGATGTACACGGTCATATCTGAAAAAACCGCCACAAAAACATGTCGCAAAGAAAGGTCTCCTGAGCACCGTTCTTGACTCAGGGTTAAGTCTTCTTCGCCTCTCCCCATTCCCCTCATTTCCCTCCTCCCCATTTCGATAAACTTTCGATAAGTTTCCGATAGTTTACTTGTCCAGTTAAAAACAGACAGACTTCCGTCAAAAGGTCGAAGGTTAACCAAGAGTTTTCTTGCCTTCAAGTTTTTAAGGAAGAACAGCACGAAGATTGAGGCCTTAGCGAGTACCCAGCAGTTGCACTGAGTTTTCTTTTACCCTGTTTCAAATTCTCTGAAACTGCCAGAACCTATTCCTTTTTCTTGTTTTAGTTTTACCCGTACCACTCACCTGCGGTGTGTGTGACTACCACACTGCTCTAGCCTCAACTTTGTAAGAGCTGTGTCTGAGCCGAAGTACAGGATATGCTGTAGATAAAACAAAAAATACGACGTTGAACAACTAATCACAGACCAAAATACAACGATGAACAACCAATCACAAACCTCTAGGACGACACTTTGACTACTCAGTTGAAATTCACATTTACTAGTAATTATGAGACATTATCTTACCTGTTTTGGATCAATCGTCATAGCTTTTATGACTTCTTGTCTGTTGATCTAAAACAAATAAAGAATTTGTTCATTTCCGATTCATCAAACCTTGATTTTCGACTTGCAGGTAGTCACATTGAAGTCACTTCAGTATTTTCTAGAAATTGATTCCAGTCCCTCAGTAACAACTACTGACGATTTGACAATCTCAGTGAAGGCAGAAGTCACCTCGACGCTGATGATGACTTCCGCTCATGTTGTTGATCGAAACGCCAGCCACTGCCACCGACAACAGTTCTCTTCAAAGAAGACCGATCGACCGTAAGAAATTATCATGGCAACAATACTTACCGGAAAAAGGTCGATTTCGGTGAGAAGGCAGGGTTGACGAGAGCCAGCAACTTGTGAAATTTTAAGCACAGATCCTCGGTCTACAAAAATAAATTTCATTATCTTTGAGCTAGCACTCTGCTACTTGTGCCGATGAGGCTAGAGGCAGTTTAGTAGGATTGGAGTTCTCCGAGAAAACGCATTGTGCTTGGGCAAGAGAACTCCCGCTATCGCCCTTGCCAATCAAATGCAAGTTATTTGTTACCTGGGTATTTACCATGAATTCTTATTAGTTACGTGATTGGCTGAAATGATTGCTTTCTTTTTGGTTTGAACACACCCAAATCAGAAAGCGATTTATTGGATATTACAACCTCGGATTTAAGAAGTAGTGCAACTCTGTCTCGCAATACCAGGTGCCAAGTATGTTGAATTTACCTGTTGATGTGTATACAACAGTGTGTTCACCAACTTTGTCCAGAACAATGGCTGTCATCCTACCGCAAAAAAAAATTCTTTATGAGTAATAATCAGCGACTGTTAAGGATACGTTCAGTCACTAAGGTAGTCAATTTTTCTACGCAACGATAATCCTTACAAAGGTAATTGTAACGATAATCAACGATGCACTGGTATCCAATTTTCATCTTTTAGCTTTAAAAACTTTTCAGGAAAAAATTTTGTTTTTCTCCAATGACTTTAACTGAGTTTTGTACAGGAGCAAGTGGATTACCCAGCATTCATAGTACTTCGCACAAATTCCTTCACTAGATAATGTTGACAGTTAACATTTATTGCAAGACAAGAAAAATGAAAATTTTAGGGGCTTATGCTTTCCTTTTCATTTATTTTCCTCACTTCCCAGGGGCTTCTATTAGATGACAACATACGTGAAAACGTGAGAGTAGACAAGTGTGACAATGATACTAATGACGTTAATAATGATGATAATAATAATACCAATAATACCAATAATAATAATAATAGTAATTTCGTACCTATAAAGCGCTTCTAATAATGCTACATCAAAAGCACTTTACAGTACCACTACATTAAAATGTTGTGAAATTGGAATAAAAAAGTAAAATGTTTCACACGGAAAGGAAATAAAGATCCTCGAGTATCGAGTCACGGTACATTCGTGAACAAACCTGATCCCATCTTTGACAAACCAGGCCTTGTTTCCTTGCTTTTGAACCGAGTCGAGGCTGGTGGGTAGCACTGGATCATGCATGAGAGGATCGTGCAAGAGGTCTTTATACACGCTATAAACCATGTTCTTTGTTCCCATCATACCGTCTGGGACTGGACGGGGGTTAGGAATTAAGTAATTCTCGTTTACTTTGCACTGAAGAAAATAAATATTTACAGCATTGTTAATTATTAAGTTGTGAGTGTGGTGGGTGAGTTAAGTAACTTAGTAACTTGTGGGTGTTTTAAGGACGAAAGTCCCAGGGGGTGCAATGCGATGGTGGTCCAGGCAGTGGAGATACCCATAAGGCTCTCCCTTGTTCCACTTCGGGCCTTATGTCATTGCTTTGTCTTGTGGTGGCAACTGCATCTAGCCTATGCTTGCTTGCTCATCTTTGCTCTGCTTAGCTCACTCTGCTTGCTTGTGGTGCTGTGTGTAGTTGCTGCCTGGCATAAGTTCTGACATCAGCGGGGCATCCCTGTGGTGTTAGTCCCCTGGCATGGCATAGCCTCTTTCACCTCAAGACCGATTGTGCACGGTTTCCTACCACATCCTTCCAGAGGTGACCTACAGTAACTGGCCAATGGGTATCTCATACAGGGAAAAAAACAAAGACCAGAGACAACAAGTCTCAAGTTAGCACGCTGGAATATTCGCAGAGACAACAAGTCTCAAGTTAGCATGCTGGAATATTCGCACAATGCAAGACTCTGACAAAGCTGACCAACCACAAGGATGCTCAGCACTGGTGGAACAGGAACTAGCCTGACTGGACATTGACATTGCTGCTCTCTGCGGGGTGCACTTTGCAAAACAAGGGTCAATCAAGGAGCATGGAGCAGGATACACCTTGTACTGGTCTGACATAGGCAGGGAGGATCATCGCCTTTCCAGAGAAGGCTTCATGTTGAAGAACATGCTGGCCAGCAAGCTGACCAGCCTCCCCCTAGGACACTCAGATCGCCTCATGCCCTTCCACCTTACCCTCCAGGGCAATCAATTCACCACCATCATCAGTGTGTATGCTCCCACACTCATAGCAGACCCTGCGACCAAAGAGGCCTTCTACAGCAACTTAAGGTCCCTCCTCTGAAAAGTAGACAGCAGGGACAAGCTCATCATCACGGGCAACTTTAACACAAGAGTGGGACAAGACTACACTGTATGGCCAAGAGTTCTGGGATGCAATGGACTTGGCTACTGCAACGCCAACGAGTGCATGCTGCTGGAGCTGTGTGCAGAACAGGGACTACAGGCTGATGTTGACTACAAAGACTGGCAGATGCTTGCACCAGACAGGGTCGAATGGAGGTCAACCTCCAAATGCGCAACTCAGCAGTTGGAGGACTCCATAGTGAACACTGCTAAGGAGAAATGCAAGCGTCGAAAGGAGTTGGCCAATCAAACAACACCTCGCAGCAATCAGACCTTCCCCTACCCCAACCATGTCAAAAATGTGTAAATCTTTCTTCTCACTGATCTTTGGAATGTGAGGAATCTGCCCATCACCATCATCGATTAGTAAGTTGTGTTAGTATCTTTACTTATGAAGAGTGGGAGTAACCAAACACGAGAGGGGGGGGGGAGACTTGGTTTAACACTTATTTCTCTACTATAATTATCAGAAGAGTCTCCCAAGAGACCCATGGCCCTTGAATAGGAACATGACTTCAGTTATTTGGGAGTACGGGTTACGATACTTTTTTCCCCCTTTTACAACAGTGGGTTGCCTGTGGTATACCTTACCCCGTCAAAATACTCTTTGAATTTGTTCTCCACCGTCACCCACTTTCCATTTCCTGCCTCTCTACTATCGAAAAGACTCGTGTAAAAAACATCATTGACATCTGTCAAATTGTACACACATATGGCTGATGATGGCGGGCCATTGCTGGAAAAAGAAGTGAAAGAAAATTCCAATGGGTATTACCAGAGATTAAATAAACTAGCTTGCAGTAATTTACTAGGTAATTCATTTCCCTCAATGTTTTTGTTATTTTTCGTTTTTTTTTTCTTCTTAGGGAGAGGGAAGTGTCATTATTTGCGAATTCCCAAATGCAAGCTCTAGATTTGCAATTTGCAACTTGGAAAGCAATTCTTTACTGACCTACAAAGTTAACTCTCTGACCTGTAAGAATGATTCACATTCAGTTTCTCATTTTTTACCCCTGAATCACACATTGAGGTCATGCGAGTAAAGGAAATGATCCAAACTAAAGAGGCCCACACCCAAAGAAAAAACACTTTCAATTTTTTCCAATTCTATTTATCTGCACCTTTTTCTTAATTTAATTCTTGTATTTCCTTCAACAATAGCTACACAAGAGCAGAATGGAACTTATGAAATACTTACGGATGAGAGGTGAAAATTGCATGAAACAGGTTGGTTTCTGAATCCCACCAAACATCCTCTGCCAAAGAAATAACATAACAAAGTCAGTTTTCTTTGCTGCATTACACCACAGTAAAGGCCTAAATTATTTCCTCATGAGTCAATATGTATTTTGTACTGTGTTAACCCTTAACCCTTTCAATCCCAAAATCACATTAGCAATTCTCCTTACTGTCTACCATACAGTTCTGGTGATGTTGGTTTGGAGAATTTGGTATTGGGTCAACTTATATTCCCTTAATTTCTATTTTTCTTTATTCTCATCCCTTGTCTGCTTGACATTGTATTGATATTGTAAAGAGAAATTCTGTCTTGGTCACTCATGGGAGTTAAACTGTTAACCTCTTAGAGTGACTAGCATCTAATTTCTCTTGACAACATCATGCCCAAATCATACATTGAGATCATAAGAATAAAGGAAATGATCACCAATTAAAAGAAGCTCTTGATTGTTAAACTCATTCTTCTTGTCAGTACCTTAGGCAATGTACAGCATAGAGTACAGTTTGGAGAATATGCTATCTAATATTAGGGTACAATGGGTTAGCTCAATCTAAATGGCACATAAATATCATCCCCTGGTTGCCTTACCATCAAGTTTCCTTCTCAGCATTATATAATAATATGCCATATTTAATACTAAAAGTCACTTACGAATTTCATTGAAATAAACTGGATATTCTCCTCCATCAGAACAAACAAGTTTGGCCTTCTGGTAAGTTACAAAGTACTTTCTGAGGGTAGACTGACCAGCATAGTCACCCTATAGAGAGAGAAATTTCTCATGATGAAGAACATCAATAAAACATACTTAACCCTTTAACTCCCAGAAGTGATTAACATGAAATTTCTCCCAATAATATCCATACAGTGTCCAGCAAAGGGCAAATGAGAATACCCAAACTTATCCGGCAGAAGTTGTTATCTTGATCTTATACCAAATTTGCCTAACTGGTTTGCCAGGAATTGTGTAAAAGCTTGAGGTGAAAATTAACAATCAGATCATGGGAGTTCACAAGTAATGACTGAGTATAGTTTGGACAGAGGGGAAAATGCTTGATTCTTAATCGTGACATGTGCTTAAAGTGTTTATTGGTGAGTCAGACCTGCCCTGACTCACCAATAAAGCACTTTATCATATGACCACTGCTCTTTCTATTTAAACCTTTTTCCTTGCATTTTATCATCTTGCATCTTGAAGGGCCACCCAACTTTCTCCAGCTCTGTTTCATGTTTTTGAATGAAAGCCCACACAGGGCTGTACAGGTCATATCATTATATCTAATCAATGTTATTTGTCATTTATCTAGCATGCTTCAATTTATTAGCTGCCATACTACAGCAATTCATTTTTTCAAAACTAACTATCAGATTTTACTTCCCAGATCCTTGGTACAGATATGTTACAATTATGAAAAAAAAGCTTCCTTGTACCTTACATATACGTGCTACCCTGGAGACTTTATATTTTCCACAGCTCTTACATTCCATTGTCCGCTCGCGAAAAAAGATGTACACATATTTCCCAATGATGAAACTCTTGACGAAATGTACATCTACATGAATAAAAGTTTAAAAAGATTAAGTGCTGAAAATGTCCTAAAACGCTGGAAGAACAATTACGTCTAACTATATGCAAATTGTTCAGCATCACATTCTTGGCCAAGCTACTGAAAGCACTCATTGTGCAAATAGCACTTATCTAGATTTCAATGCCAAGAAAACAAATATCTTCTGAATCCAGACCATCATTAACGCATAAGGAGGGTCTTCACCAGACCATGGAGGGCATGCAAATGTAAACAAATAGAACTGCATTTGCAGCAACCCTATGCAACTACTCCTGGCATTATTTATTGACACTAATTATTCCCACATAAATATTGATCAAACTTACCAGAGTAAAAGTCACTTTCAGACGTAAAATCAGTGGACACTTCACTGATTCTGGGCTTAAAACTTTTACCATGAATCATGGATATTCTTGTTCCCAAGTTTATTGTTCCTGTGAAGACTCTCCCATTTTCTGTAAAACCCAAACAAAGCAGAAAACTTAAAAGTTAAGAATCAGGTGTTTTTAACTACCTTGTCTCAAATTATACACAACTCACATACCTTTTGTGTTGTTCCAGATACAGAACCAAATTATTACATTACTTAACTCTTTAAGCCTAGAGATTTGATTGTTAATTCTCCCCTCCAGCTACTACCTATCTCCTTGCAAATTAATAACAAGAATTTGGTGTTTGATCAAGATAACTATTTCTATTTCAGGGTTAACAGTGACTCTTCTGAGACAGACTAGTCAGTGTCAGTTACATAAGATGCATTACAGAAGAGAATGGAAAATGAAAGAACCAGAATATAGCTTTGTAGTGCAGGTAAAAAAACCAGAACCTTAGCTAAGGTCCATTTCCCTGCAGTATTCACCATTACTAACACAGCACACAGTCTTTGTGTTCAATTTTAGTTTTAAATCTCTACAACAATAGCAACCACTTCACAAGGGCAACAAGATGAAAACAAATCTTTACTGCCAAATTCATTTTGTCATTAATCTTTTTGCTGTTCTTTGATTGTAGGTTTGTTGTCGTAGATACTTGTACTACTAATTTTTTGGTTATTGAAATTTTCAAGCATAAATTGTAACCTAGTTTGAAACAAACTGATATTTACACCTTGCTTGTCAGGCTTCGGTTGTTAGAAGGCTTGATAACACTGTCCACTGCATAAATCTCTCTCCAGTGATTAGCCAAGTACATTTTTTTTTTACCCATTGTGCACTGGACAGTGATTTATACAATGGAAAACAATATTATTTTAAAATTTGTCACATCCTTTCTTGAATGCACACTTAATTTGCATACCCAAAAAGCATTAACCTTCCTGAGGATTTCTCATGATCTATTACGTGTAATGGGAATTCACCCAAATAAAGTGATCTTAACACAAACCTGTTATAACACCCGTGTCATTTTGACTTGGTGTGCTATAATAATTTTCATCAGCTATAAACACATTCTGATTACTATCTCTGCCTGGAGCTGCATTCAAATTCGTCCTCTGAAAACAATAGAGAGACTAGTGAGTGTTTTAGAGCAGAAATTCTTGAGAAAAAAGCTTCAACTACCATTAAAATGAGCACATTTCTACTGTAAGAGAAGAAAATCCAGATGTAAATCCAATTAATCTGATTGGTTCTTACTTCGCTGTCTTGGTCTGTATTTTGCCATAGCAACTGTTTCCATGTAAACAGTCATAAGCCGTGTATTTTTGGTAGCAAAGGCTGGCAAATTCAAATTAATCAAGTTGGCCTGGGTGCCATACAATAAACAACTTGATAACCTTGTTTGCTTGAGCTATACTGGGGTTTATTAGCCATTGGTCTGCACCGCCACAACCTCACGTCAATATTCCCCAGTACAACCCTTGGGCTCATTAAGTAAGACATTAGTCTTCACCTCCCACTTGAAACATCGTTTTTTTATAACTTCATGCAAGACACTTCTTTCCCATGTTATTTCCAACCCTTCATATAACTCTGATTTTTTTAAAAGCTTGGTCCCTAAATATTGACTTGCTAGTTTTAAATGTTTTTATCCCAATCTGGACCTTAACTTATGGAGGGCAAGGCATCATAATTATAATAAACTTGATTGGCAGGAGATAGAGGTCTCACAATATTCCTGCTTTTCAGGGAACTGAGAACCTGCTCTCAAGTTCCTTTTTATCTGGATTCAATAAGATGGTACATAATTACTTACATTTCTCCAGATACAGCCCCTTGTCAAACAGATAAATATCCTCTCCTCAAATGGCAGCATTAACTTCACATAGTTATGGCATGAAGGATCCTGCAATCAAGATGTGATAGACAACACTTAATAACAGCACTCAATCAGAAAAAATATATCTGGGATAATTTACATAACTGACTAATTTACATGGGGGCATGGACCCTCAGGGGGTGGAGGAGTGTGTCAAAAAAAGACTCCATGGAAAATAAAAGAAAGCTTGTCATCTCATGCACAATACAGATCTCACATTATGGTCCTTTGAGGGAGGATTCACAAAGAAATTTTAAAAAAGAGAACATTACAGATTTTGGAATGTTTACTTGTAAGTGTTTTGAGGAACATAGATGGGAAGCTATACTTTGTAGTTTCATTACAAGACAGCTTACATTTCCTAGATTACTAAACCCCTCCCTCGGCTTCCTCCTACCCAGTCTGTTAAAATTCTGGGGTCCATCTCTTTGCCAGGGAAATTTGGTGAATTCTGAAAAGCCATATCATAAATTGCATCACATTTCAATGAAAAAGAGTCGGTGTTAACTTAAAGGTAATCAACCACAAAGCTCACAAAATGTGTATGCATTGTATAGCAATTTATCATTTGAAGCTGTATAATTACCTGTCCTTTATCACATCCAAGGCTTTGGGTGGTCAAATCCCAAGACTAAATGAGATAAACAAATCTAGTCATTAGTACTCATTAAAAACACACCAAGTTTAACATTAATCTGAGAACAGCCATCTCAAAACAGTACTGCCAAAATTAGCCCTTACTTCAACACTATTTATGTTTCCCAGATCCACTAGGAGTGCATTGTCTCTGCAAAACATAACATTAAATAAATGCAATATCTGCTTCAAGATGTCTACAAAACAGTAAAACATCAGAAAATGAATCTTAAATAATCAGGTCATTATGGCACCATGAAAAAAATTTTTAGCCTAATAACTCACCTTGCTCCCACGAGTAAGTGATTATACTTGATGTCAACTGACAATACTGAGTAGTTTCCAATCTTTATTCCTCCTGTTTTCAGTGTCTCCAGGTGGGGCCTGATATCTGGGAAGGTAACAGAATTAATTGACAAAACTTTGGTTCCTTTGTTCCTTACATAACCAGAAATCAAAAGCAAGCATTATGGTGAGTGCAGAGTCTTGCTTCTTCACTCTTAAACTTGCAAGATCTCATACTTAACAAATCTTCTTGCTGTTATGTGTAAAACCTATATTTCCTTTACAGTTCATTCAAAAAGCTTTCACCCAATCACCCCCAAAGTGATCATAGAATAATTTCTCCTTGCAGTTATCAATACATTGACAAGAATAAAGATAATAAAATGAAAAAAGCAATCTCAGGGATATTGCTTGATTCAACACCAAATCCTCAGAACTTAAATCATAAAAAAAATGCTTGGCAAATAGAGATGAGAATTGATAATAAGATCTTGGGAGTGAAAGGTTTCGGTATTCTTATGTCAGTGCAACAACCTCCAGCTGATAATTTTGTCTATTTTCAATGATTGTGTACTAGAAAATGCAAGGATTTTATTCATCAGGGGTAGCTGAATTCTCTACAAAAAAATTGAAATCCCCTTCCCTATCTTAACTTCAGATGTAAAGAACATTATCCTCTCAATCTAAACACTCCTTCAGCATTCTTTAAACCCGATTATGCATTGAAACAGTGAATTTACATGTTCATCACTTCTAAGCAATTTACATGTTCATCACTTCTAAGGAATTTAGGAGTTGAGTCATCTGTGTAGCCTAGGCCACAAAGGGGGCAAAAAATTATCCCAGGAAACTACATGCCGTCAACAATGGCCTCCATATTTTTAAAACCTACATACACAAGCTAAGAATATCACAGGTTTCAAATCAAAAATCACACCATAAATAGTTGATGTGTATCAGATAAACCATTACCTAGGGAAAGGTATTAGCTATAATCAAATATTTTTAAGCCATAACTAGGAAATAGATCATCTGCTTTTAATAGTTTTTAGTTCTACGATAAATAAGATCTGATATGTTAATCCTATTTTATTTCTAAGAAGTCAAGATTTTAGAAAAGCTTGTGGATTAAGAGGCAAGGAAAAAATTCCTTCTTTAATTAATGACTTGGTCATCAAGGTGGACTTCAGATACCAGAGATACATTTCTGCAAATCTCAACATGTCATAGCTATTTTCATTATGATAAATTTATGAAATTGTAAGAAAAGTAACTTGCATCAATATTGTAGATTAGACTCCTGTTAGGCATGGAATGGATTTCTTGTCACAAAGTATTGTTGTGGCATATAATGAAAAGTATGACTGTCCAAGTTTAATGCTGTTGGCTAAAAGAGGAGCACTAAGGAGTCTCGTCTTATCATAATGAGGATCTGCCAAAGCTTTAACACCAAAGAACAGTCCTGAGACCAATACAATTAGCTCCTGTCCTATTTTACTTGACATGAAAGAAACTAAACAGCTAATTGATTCTTATTTCACTGGCAGAACAAACACTTTTAATTAAGAAGTACAGTTTAAAGTCCTACAAAATCACTTCACCCAAACAATAACAGAATCTAAATTTGTAGAATGCAATAAATGTTGAGACAACAGTGATCCTTGTTCATTTACAAATCACCAAATTCATCTTGTTTATGGAATCACAGCCAAATAAACAACACATTTTAGAGTTTGTTTGTGTGAACATATCTGTGCGGTAATTTTTTTGATCTCCAATCAGCCAATCTGTCAGTTTAATGTAACTGAATTCCTTAATTTAGCACTAATTACCTTTGCAATGCAAGATAACAAATGGACAGACATTTTGGCTTCAAGACTATCAAAAATTAGTTTCCCTCATGTTGCAACAAGTAAACGAGTTTCTTTTCACATTAAGAGTAAGTTCTCTGTAAAATACTTTAGGTCACTCACCTTATAAATAAGTAAAATACCAGTTCGGTATTAACAAATCAGGATGTATTAAAACATAATTTAATTATAGCATGCAAACTACGTGATTGTGTTATAATCAGCTTGTAAGGTAAGTGATACATTTGGAACCTCTTGGCCGTCAGGCAAACCACTTACATATGTCTCATATAAGATTGTTTCACAAAGGAGGGTGTATTCCTAATCCAAAGTGGAATGAGACTTGATAACAACAGTACAAAATGTCATCAAGTGCATTATCTTTACTACTGTATTTCCAACCAAATTCCCACTTGGATATTTCTACCTGAAATTTTAAAATGTCAAGCAGATCTAGGGGTTACTACTATTCAGTCTATTTAGATCTTTAGGATGATGCAATGTAAATCAAAGCTTTGAAACCTCAATATCTCTGAGGAATTTAAATAGACTTTGGCACAGTGAGGTCTTTATAAAGTAGACATGATATTAGGCAAACACAACCTTTATTAACTCCTTAACTCCCAGGACCTAAGAATCAAGTCTCAACTCCATCTGTTGCCCATTTCTATTTATTTTAACTTTGAGAAATTCATGTCCAACCAAACATTATCCCCTAATTGATACTTTTCTAACTTCTTGCAACCTTTCTGCATGAAAATGTATTGATATCACTGGGAGACATTTTTTTCCCTCACTCACAAGGGTGAGAGAGTTCAACAGACATTAAACGTACTCCAATTTTGTCTTAGTTCCACATTTAAAGTTAAAACTCCCTTTAAGCGATCTTTTTAGTAACAAATATAACTTGCACAAGAATAGACTCACAACATTTGATTTAAATAATTAATTAGCCAATGGTGCCTATCATGGAAACTCCAACAGACCAAACAGTTAAGGTTGGCATTACTGCATATTACCATACCCTGTGTGAAGGAAACAAAGGCATGGATCTCAAGAGTAACGAATCAAAACAGCTTTGATTGTTCTACACAGAAAAAGTTAAGGAAAACAGCACCTCAAAGAAAAAATTCACATTTCATTTACAGATGCCAGTCTAGTAACTAAAAATACTTGTCATTTCAAAATTTCTCTGATCACCCCTGACATTGATATATATATTTTTAGGAACCATCTCCCGCTCCAGAACACAGCTATTGATGACTCCAAATTTGTTATTTCAAAATCTAAAACACTGTTTTGTCTTGAATCAAGACATTTCCCATGAAAATTATGTTTGATTGAATAGATCCTATGCAAGTATATTCAATTTGTTATAAAGACCAAAAGCAAAATAATTTGATCAGATAAACATTGATTAGTTTTGCCTTAGGGTAAAAGGCAATTTTTTCATTAACTAGACCATGAAATCAAAATGGGTGGAAATGATTTCCATTATATCTGGAAAGAGCCTTTTTAGTTAGCAGAACATTAATCAATAACTGACAGCGGTACACCAAATTAGTAAGTGGCAAGCTCATTATCTGCCAAAATCCTAGACTACCAAGACAAAGAGATAAAATTTTGCAAAAAAAAAAAACAAATTACAAACTCTTGTCCTTAGCTTTATTGATACCTTAATCATGTTCTGGTTGTATCCCAGTCACCTTTTAACATCAAGATTGGAAACAAACTTCTTTCAATTATATTCAAAACACTGAATCAAACTCCAGTCATTATATTATTGTGTTTCATCTGGAGAGGCTCTTTAACATAGAGACAGTTGAACCCCCAAATATCACTGAGCCTTTGTGTTTCCTTAATTTTGCCTGCAGCTAAGTAGACAAATTTGACCATATCCCATTTTCATTCAATTTGATTTCAATAACAAGTACAATTTCTCAGTGGTCTGGAAGGAACTCATTCACAATAGATGTTTGTTAAAATTGTTCTTTTACAATTCTATTGTTGAGAGGGTCATGGCACACTTTTGTATGCAACACAACACACTCCTAACCCAATATCAAACAAAGCCAACCATTGTGCACAAGTCAATTTAACCAAAATCCAACCATTAAGCACAAACCATTTTTTTAAGCCAATGCTACCATACAAAACAAAGGCATCAGTGTTTGTGCAAGGCTGAAGTAGTCAACAACACTAGAGCCCTTTTCAATATCATAGCACAGTTCGTAGTACAGAACATTTGGCAAGATTGTTATTATTTCACACCATGTTTGTTGATATTTTTCAAAAAAAGTTAGCAAATAAGTTCCTTGATTTTCTTGTTGTGGGTATCTCTTCTAAAATTCTCAGAGATATGCAAGGAGAAACAATATTTGAAATTAATAGACCTGCCAAGGAACAACCCGGTCCTTTGGATAATCATCTTCCCCATTCCCTGGATTGAAATTTTAATGCAGCCTGTATTACCCAAAATCTGATCCTTTACATCTAAAAATACACATGTAGTTCCATCTCTGTGTTTTATCAACATTTAAAGACAACGCATGGCATTAAGCTGTGTTATTTTAACCTATCCAATAAAAGAAGTGCAATAACTTTGAAAAATGCAATTGCTCATTACAATTTAATTGTTGCTCAATTTTATTCCAATCAAAGCTGAGAAATATTCTGATCAATTAGATGAACTCATAAAATAAGGAAAGCCTCCGCGTTGGTTGCAATGTAATTTTTGTTAAGCTTCCTTTGTTTACTTTACAACTGTGCTAATGAAATGCCGATGAAAAGCTAATTGATACCAGACTACAAGCTCCAATGCTTCTGCGTCTAAAATTTCACTCCAGTGCAAATACAACAAAGTGTACCTTCAGAGGAGGAAAAGTCGCGCCAAAAAACAGTACATATACAGGCTTATTCCGCATGAAATTGCATAGTATACGACGAAGTCTCAAACTATTCAATCAACGTGAAACAAAAGATGTTTTACCGCCACTCACAAAACATACAATACATATGCATTTACTGCAGTGCCTCTATTTACAACCCGGTGTTTTAAATCCTCATATGGTTTGTAAAGCAAATAGCACTGACCCTCTCAGAAGGGGTATACGCATTTAGGTATTTCGTGGTTTTTCCTTTTGTGCAGCCGTTTGCATCAGTAGTGGGTAGCAATATCTGATAGCTAAGTAAACTTTATCAACCAAGTTTCACCTGCTTCCCGACGCAAAATATTTTTAACAGCCAAAACATTGAATAATTTTGAAGCGCCATATTGATTTTTGAACAAATTAATTATGTAGTGATGCAAGGACCGAGCAAAAACGCTCTTTAATGTCGAAGAATTTCAATATCTTCAAACTGATTTAAAATTACTTTGTGTAAACTATGAGATTCCCTCCGGCTGGGATGGTTTATTGTAGAAATACACTGTTCAAGAGTGTATGAAGTTTCCAAAACAACCCTCTTAAGAGGCCTTCCTTAGTCATCACCGAAAACACCGTAACAATACAACGCCAAAATAGATGAAAACTGACAGAAATGTCTCCATACGTGAAAACAGAATCTTGCGCTAGCGTGATTTTCATTCAACAACTCGCATGTAGTTTCATGATAGTACGAGGAAGGGTCGTGTGTGCACGAGTAGAGAACATACCTTCGAATTGTGTTCTTGAGTGCGGTTCTCTGTTGGACGCCACCACAATGCATCCAGATAATATTGCGAAATGACTCAGAAGTAGCATATACAGCCCGTTCCGTTGCTTCATTTCTTACAGTTGGGCTGCAAATTGATCAGACGATAGATTTGAGAACCATCAAAAACCGTCACAGTGGCTACATTAGATACATGAGAAGTAGTAGATAGTAGTGTTACAAGACTAGACGCACGATGCGATATCGTACTCAGATTTCATAAAACAAACCACATTGTTTGCAGATAAAATAATTCTGCGTAAATTTTAACGTAACAAACACGACAGGACCGTTTTCACGTAAAAATATTGTTGACCTCGATGGAAAACTTACATTCTACGCACTAAGTGTCGCTCAAAGTTAGAACAAAAGGTAGTAGTTCACTGAAATATAATACTACCAAGATAATTTGCCCTGTCAACTACAAAGCGTTCTTGACTCCTGGATTATCACGCATTGTGCTAAAAGTTTCGCCTTCTTGTTGAAATAAGCCCTGAAACTGTCAAGATGGTTGGACGCACCGACCGTTAATCGTATACAGGAATGTAGTTGGAGTGACTGCAACAATCGATCGACACAAACGGAGTCCATATACGGACAAATAAATTACGATGGTTTCACAGTTGTATTTATACTCACTAAAACACTGTTGCTGAAATCCTTAATCAAACCAATTATGCACTTCGACTTTTCACAGATTGTGTTTCTCCTATGAATTCTCAACGACAAACTTTGAGTGTGTTGAGCCAAAATGAAGCCAGAAGAAGACTTGCTTAGATATTTCGGCAAATTTCGCGTTTAACATCGATGAATTCGATCACCCAGGCAATTAAAACCTCTTAAGGATAGACTGAAATATTCAAATATACTCGAGAACGTAGACGTTTGGTCTCGGTTTTCGACTAGAAGCTTACTGGTTCTTCTTATGCATTTAGGTATGTTGACAAATGAAACACTTTAGCAACGCCATGTTCCATTGGTGGAGGCGATCAATACTCGAGTGCTAAATTCATTCGTCGTCATTTGCATTTGAACCTTTTTGCCGCCCATTCGATGAGTGAAATGAACGGTGACATCACGCATTGTTTAAGATTAAGCGATGAAAACTACGCAATAGCTCGTAAAAATTCAATTTCAACTTGACATATGCCGTAACACTAAGAGCTAGAACCCACACAAATGTAAAATTACCATAATATAATCGCATCGAGCGCTTCGTACCTTGAGATCTTTCTTGTCCTGTACGTTTGAATATTTATTAAAAAGAATCTATTCTTTCCCACACCAAAGTACTAATTACAGGCTTTCCGAAATAAAGTGGATACCACAATAAACCGCAAGTGATGATTGTATTCTAAAAAACTTCAACTGTGGGCTTACCTCTTCCCGTGCAAGTTTACCACTTCCTTTGTGTTCAGTTGCCAAGCTGTTCTTCTTAGTCTGACGTCGTGGGTAAGCTTTCCAAAAACAAAAACAAAGCATTAAGACTCATAATTCAATTTGGCCTTCTCTTTGTCTTACTTCTGTGTAAAATTCGCTTTCGAAAATTGTATCGGCAGTTACACAGCAAACCGCCTCGCCATAATCATGGACTTGTTACGTCACGTACGCACTTTAATACATGACAGGTATTTATGCGTCTGATCCAAAAGGTTTGTAATTGCGGGGGAACTCACAAACAATTACAGCAGCTGCTTCTTTTCCACACACAGCGCATTAAACTAATATTCAGCGGACTGCATTCCTCTTGGCTGATACCCTTTCAACGTTTTTCAATCAAATGCACTTCGCCTTACTTCGGAAATCTGGTTTTCATTCACACTCGTTGGATTAGGCTACAGTCATGGTGGCAGGGGTCGCAGTTTAAGTCCACTTACTTGATGTCTGCTACTGGCCAATGCTCCTACAAAATTCAAACTGTGCAGTTCAAATCTTTTCAATTCTCCTGCGAAGACAAATGCATAAATTCTCTATGAAAATCTTTATTCTTGCCATCTGTCGGCGTGCTTCGATACCGTACACCACACGATTAGCGGGTGGAGAACAAAAGACCTCCTTCCGCCTCCATAAAATTACCCAACGTGATCACTAACCATAACCCAACGGGTTGCTTTTGTGAGTCAAATGAGAGCTAATCAACTAGTAAACGCAACAAAAGCCGTAAAAAATTCTACTAGAACAATTCACCTTTCGAATTCGTCGCGTGGAGCAATCAATCAAGCCCGTTCCAGGTCTCCGCGCGTTTTTTATGTCATATAGCACGTCAACAAACAACAGTGTTTTAACGAATATCGATAACGATCTTGTTTCATCGGGTAAAAATGTCAATCAATTTAGTAGCACCTCAGTTCGCAAAGTCTCTCTGTGCGACGGCTGTTGAGGGGGCCCTCCATTATCTTCACCAATGGTAATAAAAGAAACTTTAATCCTGCTCAGGTCGCATGTTCACACACGACAATGAAGACCTGAATTAACTCACCGCCTGAGAGTCAGTGTATTTACTTTTAATTCTAAAGCTTTAATAAATCATTCACAAATGACACCCACAATCATTCAGAATATTTTCAAGGACGCCGACCGCTGATGTTCTGTTCGATGTCATTCCTCGCTCATTTCGATTCTTTTCCGCATAAGCGAGACTTATCGTGGGGGTTCACTTGTTAGAACACTGATTGAATATCGCTCTTCAAAAACATTACTTTTTTGCTCCAAGAAGTACTCGATCTTTCGAAGATGTTAACAAAGTTGACGTACAATTTTCATCGCAATCTTAAAAAGGATTACCGGGCAATTAGTTGAAAATTTGTTCTTTACCGCACCCGAAACTCCTGTTTGTTCCGATTACGTTTGTTTGGTTTTGCTTTTTGTTAATTACTCCTAATTTCCTGCCTTTTAACTTCTGCAACACACAGATGCCAAATGGAATTCCTGATATTCTAAAACAAGCAAAAGAAACTATTTAATGAGCGTAAAATAAACAAATATATTATGTGATTGTCGCTTGAAAACGAGGAACAATTGATCGGATGGAATTGCCACACTGACGTAAAATTTGAGGAAATACGTCATCAATGGTGGGTCTCGCAAAAATTGCTTGAAATTCCTTAATAAGCAAACGGTTCCCTTTTGTATTTCACACCTAAGCCGTTGTTTCAAAGGATAACTTTCCTTAGGGCCTGATTAGGCAAAGAAACTAAACCTTAGTTAAAGTCTTAACGAAAACAAGACCAATATATTCTTAGGAGTTTGGAAACGGAAGTTGAAAAGAAATGACGTTAAAACATCAGAAAACGAAAAAAAGAAAAATGGAATTTCAGAGAAAGATCACAGCTAAAATTTCTCGTCAAAGGATGCCTAAGTCTAACAATGATTCATAAGATGTAATGCACAAAACAAGAAGGAGCATGTGGAAGCAAGCACGTGCTAAGGCATCTTTCAAGCACATGTACGTTCCAGGGTTCCCAGAGTCGTTCGAGAATTTTGAAGCCATCGGCGTAAACCATGTACAAGATTATTTCGCATGTCATTGACTGAATAAACTTCGACTCAATAAAAAGCCGCTGATCGGGAATATGGGATTCCCTCCCAAACAATGACTTCCTCTAGCACGTACCTCGGTCCTCCTCAAGTCGCGGGACGGAAAAAAGGCTGTGCTCGAGAAAACGCCGACTGGGAAGCCACGCCAAACTGAACTCTAAAAATGTCAGCTTATTTTCGGTGAAAATTGATTCAAGTTTTTCAATATCTCAAGAAAAAACTTCCGACCTGATAGCTGATATTACTCTAACTTAGAAGAAAGTCGTTGCTCCAGATCTGCCACTTACGTAACCGTCCCACGATCAATGCGAGACACGGTCAGTGTCCACTCTTGTGATGTAATACGTACATTCTGATTTATCAAAATTCGTGCCAACAAGAATAACTTCAAACAGATTTCCATGCACTCTTTTTTGTTATAGGGATATTCTTCCAGCAGAATATTGAGGCTGAAACTTGGCGATTACGTTTACAATATATATGTAAAACTAAGGCTCCATTAAAATCATAAATTTCTGTTCGTTCTCTATTTTACACTCAAAGGATTTAGTAAACTCTCTCTTTTTTTCAGAAGAAATTAGCATGATTTATACCGTACCCAATTTTGATCAAAAAATGTCTAAAATTTCCGCGATAGCAGGTCATTTAAAACGATCAAGAATCATGATTATGTAAGAAGTTTAATGGTGTCAATGATGATTAACCATAAATTTTTATTAATGTAGCAATGTAGCCAAGAATATTCAGTTTGGCTCGATGAAATCTATTCAAAATGATATCTAAAAGAGTTCATTGTTACATAAAAGAGTGTAAATAGGGCAATGGAAAAAAGTGCTTAGGTGCATTAGAAAATCTCGAAAAATGAAAAATAAATAGAGTGAAGTTCTAATAATAATAAAACAGGGTCTCACGTATTGGCCTGTATTAGTCGAGGTGCATGTTACGGATGTATGCAAAAACTTCTATAGTAAACATACCTCTCAATTACAATTGTTTTAAAAACGTTCTTTAGCTTCCCGTCGAGTTGCTGTGGAGAAGGAAATCAGAAAACTCTGTTTGAATGAAGCTTCCCCTATTTGCTTTTCATGGTTGTTTTGTCTGAGCGATGTGAGTTTTAATTTTTTTTTCTGCCCGGTTACCAATACTTACAGCCGATCAGATGACTATCACATTTTAACCGGTTTCGATCCTCCTTTTATGGCAAGATCTGACCTGTTGTATGATCTTCCATTCTACCCCGGCTGTTCCTCATTTGTTTATAAATCAGTCAAGAGAATTTGTTATTTGATAAAGATACCTTCCATTCACTAATAATTTTGTGTATTCTCATGAACGTTCCACTGGATAATGTTTTAAAATTGTGAGGGGAACTTGCAACTTGATCGCTTCTGCTGACACTCGAAAGGGTTCAAAGAAGGAAATATCCACTCAAAAAAAAAACAGTTAGTGCGTGATGCCAAGATTTGATCGATAACCAATATGATACTCGTGCGTACACATGACTTACTCAGAAACAAACATTTCCAGGCTATTTTTAGTAAATTAATGTTAAATTGTTGTCAAGCTATCGTTATCGAAGATGGTGGAATTTCGATTGCAATACGCACGTCTACATTTAATCAAGTGCCTGACGAAGACCAACGTTATGGCAGTCGTCAGCCAGTTAAGCGCTGTGATGTTCAATTCATAGCTTGACCGTACAATTGAGGGTGACTTGGATTATAATATATTGTGAAACGAAACGAAACGAAACGAAACCAGGCGAGATATAACAAAACTAAAGGAATAATTCCTATATATTTTATAATAAGGTAAAAATAACTTTCACACGGATTTTGGAGTATCGTTGATTAACAATAACGATTTTTATTCATTTCGCAAGATAGTATCTCACCAAAATAGTATCCTACCTAAAATTACTATTTCTTTTCGTTTCGCAAAATAGAATAAGCCGAGTGACTCTAAACATGAGGCATACGGTGAGTTATTCATTTCTAATCATCTCCACGAAAACAAAAACATTTTCTATCGACAATTTTTTACGGTCAGTAATGAACTCCCTATGTTATGGGATTATAACTACTTACGACAAATTACATTAAATTTTCTTAACTGGAGAATTAAAAAGAAATCCAATAGACTCCTCGAAGAAATAGTAACCCTGACCAACACACTTAGTTTCCAATTGCAACAAATATCGACAGAGCGCAGAAAGAAATACCGTTGCCAGATCCGCTATCATTGGAGAGTGCACACGGGGTAATCTATCGTCTAGACTTATCTCTTGAAATGTGGTGTGTCAAGAAAAGCTGTGACCCTTTTCCTCCGATCCGCTCTCGAACCGACCGGTGCCAAGAAAAACAGAAACTATGTACCTTTCGTGATCAGCAGCCAAGGCGCGACTCTAAAGGGGTAAAAAGGCAACAAGGAATTTTCTTTCATACACTCAGCTGGAAAGATTAAACATAAATCAATTGAATTGGGTGTTAAAAGGGTACCTGGGATGAAAATGTAATTAAAATCAGGCGCCTTCACGGATAAATTCGTTTCTAAAGCTCGACATCTTACTGATCTCCTAACTAGACCAATCTCGTACCCAGATCCTACAGTGTACCTGAAATGGCCGTGGAAGGTCTGGGTAAGAGATACGCTCAGACTGCCTGCCTGCTTGTGGTTTCCCACGCGTTCTATTTCTGTTTGTCTGAAGTGATCGCATCAAAGCGATTCTTTGAAGCCTCCTGAGAAAAGCTGAATAATGAATATAGCTGAGATAAAAAAAATTAAAAAAAAGAAACTAAGCGTGCAATTTACGAAGTGGAACACGATTGTTCAGTATGGGATATTTCAATGAGCCTTGCGTGAGGTAAAATGCGGGAAAACAGTCTCGAGACCGCAAGAAAATCTCCATACATGTTTATCCTAGCTGTCAGTCAAATATCCCGACACCTTGGGAAAAACATTTTTATACTAAAATGGCGGTATGCTTAGTAAAAGTGCCACCAGACCAAGACATTATCTCTGTCCGAGTCCGACTTGGTCAATTACCAACGTCTAGTTTTTACAATTACGTTGTTGTCGTTGAATTAATACCATAATCAAATGCGAAAATATAGCCTGATTTGAACTTGTTAATGGACTATTAGCGTAAAGAAAACTGAGAAAAAGAAGCAAAACTTCGACTGCGAGAGACTGAATACATCTGCTCTGCTATTCAGCGATTCCACTTTCGTAAAATTATCATATGGACGAAAAGGAAGTAAACAATTCCGAGAAACGACAGATGGTCTAATGGCTAATGGGTTATTTTGGGAAACGGATTAATTACAGCCTTTTCACTCATTCTGACAGACGCTTATGAGTGAACTAGCCACTGAATGATGCAGTCTGTCATGAAGGAAAAAAGGTAAAACAAAATTGTGGTCTCGAAATTCTGAGAAAACAGAATCAGTAGACTTCTTCTTGACTTGGTATAAAAATATTAGTTTACAGCACGGCGCGAACGGGCGAAAGTGTGTGAAAAATGAGCATCGACTAGTGACATGCATACTAGTTGGCAAGGCAAATTTCTGGTCGATCAAAAATTAGTTGGAAGTAGAGGAAGATATACTATATCAAGAAAGGACGGAGTTTTGAGAAATGACCAAGCTCAGAATGCACAAGTGAAGGCAAGCGAATGCTCAGAGTGCACGGGTGAAGGCAAGCGAATATGCACTTCAACGCCTGACAGACATTCTAGTTGGTAAAGCAAATTTCCAGTTAACGAATTATCATTAGGAAGGGAAGGAAATTATACTATTTCAAAGAAAAGGCGGATGGTTTGAGAAGCTAATTTTGTTCCAAATGATTTGGATTTGTTCCAAATCCAAACCCTTTTAGCATTAAATTGCTTTATCACCTGCTAGATAAACAGAAGGAATCATTCAACTGCTGACAGGGAATTAGATAACAGAGCCGCCCATGCTTAAATTCCCTGAAAACGGTATCAGCTGACTTCCTGTTTGGGCTATTAATCACTTTGTCGCTCCTTGTTTATATTCGCGGGCCGTTTGATTAAAAGGCAGTTAGTACTAAACCGGGGTTAAAAGGTTCTATAGCTCATGAAAAAGCGTATGCATTTTCTCTCGTGTGTACATTAGGCTAAAATGCTAACATGGCTAACGTTTCGTTAGGCATCATCCTAGTAAGACGAAAAACTTAACATCATAAAATATATACAGGGAAATTTCTACATTGTTAAGTAACTTAACGACCAGTTTACTCTTAACCTCGATGAGCTTACTTACGTTCTAAAAAACTCCTTCCTTATTGTACGGTGCTGCACAGCATCGAATGATGCGATCGAAATTAGTCATTTCGTTTTTAAAGCAATTTGCAATAGATATAACAAACCACTTAGCTAAAATGATTGGTTACCTTTTTTTGGAAGACTGAATCACCGCTAAAAATTTCCGTTTCACTGCCCTCTTCCTTCGTCTTGGACTTAAAATTTTTCTATCTGTGCCATATAAACATCCTTAAGTAACCTAGACGTTTGTGCCCATGGTTGCAATTGGATGTGAGTGAAATTTAATCAAGGACAACTGGCCTTAAAAATAGTTTCTCGTTATAAGTTCTTTTGTTACCTCAATGTAATTATAACTTTCTAGTGGACTCGTGAATCAAACGCGAAGTTTTACAAAACCAAGGCCATTTCGTGATACATACTTTGGTAGTTACAGGTGATATCCTCTGATGCTTACATTGGTAAAACTTGTGTGCACTTCTTATGCTCATAATTTAATATTTGCCCTTGAAAGTCATTGTGTTATCATAACTCTTCTCAGCTACTCACGAATGAAAACAAGGTGAGAACGAAAAATATATGTAAATTGTTGTTGCATAGGAGACTGTGTTTAGTTACGTGTATAATCCGGGAATCGAACCCGTTTATGGAAGATTCAGAGATCTCCTACAAGGTACTCACCGTGATCGATAATTTTTCTCAGTCGGTGGCGTACTGCAGAAATTTTAGAGTTCTCTTCGGTTGCACTTTCCTACGCAATTAAGGGCGTTTCTTTGTACACACTTGTATATATGACATTCGAAAAAGAAAGTGAAATGTAAATTTAGTCAGTTTCATCTCCACTCAGCAGGGTTGTGGCAATATCCTAAGTTTCCTTTCTTAGAAATTCCTGGATGAGAAGCTCCTTGACAACCCAGCCTTACTCAGATCTGATTCTCTTCCCTCATCTTCACCCGACCTTTCTCTTCCATCTCTATTTCCCAGAATATTTAATTGTTGCTACCTTAAAACTAAGTTCCATTTCAATTTTATTTAGTTAGTTGTGCCGTAATTTTAATTGATATGAAAACAACATTTACATGTTAATCGGTTCCTCTCGTTTATCAAACGAATAAGTTAGTGATATAAAAGCATCTTTTGAAAAAATCTTTAATCAATGCAATTGCCAAAGCTGTCTAAAACAGGTAATACATTTTTTTAGTACAGGTATAAGTATTTTTTTAAAATAGCGTCTTACGCACAGGAAGCTGAGCCTGATTTGGTGTGTTTATCTGATATCCGATGACGTTCATGGTTACAGCTCAACACATTCGATGTATGACGCAGCAAAAATTGGCTGTCAATCACGCTAAAAGCATTACAGAAAAACACCTTATAAAGACCTTGGAAAAACAATGAAGCTGGCACACCTACGGGATACAATGTCTCGTATATTGTCCTGTATTGTTTCGTGTAGCTTTCAAAAACAAACTATCCTACGTCGCGATCTATTTACTTGCGAAGGTCGTCTATTTCTGGAGCAGAATATGTCTGTAGGAGGCCTATTGACGGAGACGTAAAGCGATAAAAAAACTGTTTGACACTGTTGAAGGTGGTTTCAATAATCACTTGCGCTGAAACAAGCAGAAGGTAAAAAACTTTGACAGTTTTCACCACAAATATTACAAAGATTTGAAATCCTTATTCTGATCCGATATAAATGCGCTATTGAGTCGAGTCTAGCTTTGCCCTCGTGGCTTAGTCCTTACTTGGAATAATTACGGTAAAAAGTTTTCCTAGAATCGATGGCAAAGCTCCTAGTTTACCTCCGGCATTGAGCTTGAGAAGAAAAATCGTTTTGGTAAAATTACAGTCTGAGTTGTTTTCCAATAGTTGCGTAAGTTCTTCCACTTACACTTCGAGAAAAGGCGCGGTGGCATATTCTGAAAAAAGGTATGACACAAAGCTGGATCAAATCGCAGTGATCTCGTGATCAGTTATAGAAAATCAAAATGTGACGTATATTTGACCAATAATCTCGTAGACCTTCGACAAAATCGCTTAGAAAATTATGCTAGGGGGAAAACGTCCCTTGCATGTTCCGTGATCCCGCCATGACAACACTCCCTCCTTTCCCCTGACCCTCTCAACTTCGATAAGATTTGGAAAAAAAACCGTGGATCTCCTTTCTCAGCAAAAAACCGGTGTCAATTTGCGGACAGAAAAAACTCACCACATGAAGATTATTGATAAATTATCCCAGCTCACCGCGTGTCATTACTTTTAAACAGTTGGGAATGTTTTCTTTTGTTCAATTAAGCTGCTTACACCTTTGGCACAGCTCAATTTGAAACACAACGGAAGAAATTTCATAATTTAACACATTTGAAGTCAGTGAAAGAGCAGCAATTTCCAATAAAAGTGTATACCATATAGCTATATTTTTTTTACAAAAAATTCCCAAATGAATGCCAGGTTTGCTGTCTACGACACACTTCACATGCTGTCTTCATTCTGGCACGACTGGCAACTAAATCTTTCAATATTGAAAACTGACCAAACATGGAAACATTTGACAACAGTTGTTGGACATCAGAGTCTTTTGTGTTCTGAATAGTCTTGACTACCAGACTTACGCCAAAATATGAAATCACGAGCGCGTTTTTTCCTAATAAGCACGCTTGCCTGAGGGTTTTTTTTTCAAGAAAACCGATTAATTATTAATGATTTTCAAAGGAAAACTGATGGAAATTAACAATGCTGCTTCATTTCTCGCGTCTCTCTACTCTACTGTTCCCCAATTTAGACAGAATATCAAAGGATCAGTGTGAAAATATAAAGCTTGCCCTCAGAAATCTTCGAGTTATCGGTTCGGATAACATCGTGCGTATATTATCGTGCCATGTCAAGTAAGGACGAAGTAATTAAAACAAGAAAAAAAAGATGAAAGATGCGATTTTGTCAGCGTAAGAATAACATTTCAGTTTCAGTGAAGCTACTGAATATCTCTGACTTCCTTCGAATGAAAAATAAGCATTACTTGTCTTACTTCAAGGACTCGTGTTCTCCTCCTGAACCGTAACGAGGAAATAAAAACCATCAAAACATTTTTGGTCCATGCAAATAACTGTATCATAAATCATCTAATTTACCTTTTAGAATATTCTTTAGTCGTTCTCTCAATAGACAAGTTCGCCGAAGTGTTGCTTAGTTTTGTTTTAGTGTGTAGCGTTGCCCTGTGACTAAGATGCTTTGATCAGAGTTCAATTTCGTGGATTCACGCCATAAGCTGCGAGCACAAACAAACGAGTCACAGCATAGTTAATCGGTCCCCTCGATTAACTATGGTCGCAGGGTAACCAATGAACATCCTCACGAGGTGAAATTTATTCTCTCCTTTCGATGTCATGCACAAGTGATGGTAATTGATGCACTCGTCAACCAAAGATTTTTTCTTGTTGGGAAATATCCAAAAATTTTAAGATGTTATTTGATAATCTACAACTGCGATGCAGGAATACTCCTGGCGGAGAGTCAACTATGGTGAGACACACGTGATCACATGAAAAAAGAGACGACAGATAAACAGATAGGAAAACATAACACGAGCTATATTATGTTTTATGGTTTATCTTAGACAAGCTGCCATCCTTCTTTCTAATCAGTTCTTTTAAAACTAAAAGATAAACCATTAAATAGTTGTTATATTTATTTCCGAGTTCCTCCGGGCAGACTGCCCTGTAAACAGATCCAGTCGGATCCTCCCGGGCAGGATTACCATAAGCAGCTCCCCCCTGCTGTTTCATAAATCTGTTTTCCCTGCCAAAGAGGATGTATTTGGTTTTTTTATTGTCAAGCAAACATGTTTGAAGGTAAACTACTGTTAGTATATCCCTCTATTTGCATCAACTCTGAAGCACATAATGGTCGTACTAAAAAGTGTGAAAATTCTCCGGACCAGGGATGGGATGGCGTTGGGGTTAAACTCGAACTCACTTCCACAGGGAATGAAGAGATGAAATTGGAGCTGGTATTTACTGGGATACCTGTGGTAGCCCAGTCATAAAATGCCTTTGTTTTTTTGTCGTCTTTTTTTTTTTTTCCTCCGCCACAAAATGGAAAAATTGCGCAATAGTACCCAGAGGTCATTGGGCCCTCAACACCATGGCAACTAACTGTGATCCAATGAGCTGTTCACATGCTGATCACGCGTGTTATCCCTCAACACCGTGACAACTAACTGTGATCCAATGAGGTGTTGACATGCTGATCGCGCGTATTATCTTGATGATGATTGACGTTGTCATGCACAGACAGGGCCGGGTCACATGACGAAGCACGAGATTTTATTTTGTATTTCAACGTATTTGGATTGCGATCTCCTGGAGCATTATGGCGCAAACGCGCAAAATACTTACAGACGCATATACAAGTCGTATCAATCGCGGCTAATCCACACTGAAAGATGTTATTGAGCGGTAATTTTGGAACGGATTGAGTCGCGAACGCTTGAAAGCCATGAAAGCCTTGAATGCCTTGTATGCTAAGTATGCCAATGTCTTAGTTGAAAAACGTTCACTTGTAAAAAGCAAAATCTGAAATCTGAAACCAAACTGCATATACTCTATGCAATCTACTGAACAACACTACTACCGTGAGACTGAAGAACATAACTATAATGGATGCAAACTGCTTGTGAAGAAAGACGACATGTTGGATTCACTTGATAACAAGGAACGTAGCTACGATAACAGTACGAATGGTATTAATTTCACGATCAGAAAGGTCAATCTTATGTTTGTTTTCATTTTAGTTGTATGGATATTCTTTTTTTAATAAATACGTGATCCAAAACCCTGTGTTTTTTTGTGTATAATGTTATTATGTTAAATATTGTTTACGCCATTGTCTTGTCACAGGCGGCCCAAGCTCACGTCTCGAGAAAAAGCCAACGATTAATTCATGAACGCGTTACGAGAGGAACTGCTCGTTATGAGGAATAGTATAGGGAACGAAGTATGGTCGATTTACAACGATACATATTTCGAAATATGAACATTTTTCTCGTAAAATCAATAAAACTTACTCATACCCTGTGTATCCGTTGTATTTTCTGGCGATTTCTGCCGTTTTAAGCTTGCTTTACCATCACTGTTATTCACGTCATCTACTTTTATTACGTTGGTAAAATCTGTATAGACATCACACCAACCAACTCGCGCGCAAAGTAAGAAGACTATATTGAAGGCTTGAAATAATATTGCGATCGATTTTCATCAAGAAATGGGCTAGGAATATTCCACAATAGTGCAAATAATCGTGAAGGCGGATCGCAGAAAACCGATTGCGTGACGCTCGGTAAGCTGTAAGATGACATGTTATTGTATACCAGACGTAAAAACTCTTCAGATTCTTAGTCTGCATTTTGTACCCACTCTGCAGTCTGCAGTCTCTATTTTGTATCCGGTCTACAGTCTGCTGTCTGCATTTTGTATTAACAGGTATCCGTGGCACCAATACAGTCTATTTTTGGTTACATTTATTTGCAAAGCACACATAATCTACCACAAAATGCCTGTGAGTGAGGTAATTCGACATTTTCGTTCTTTCCCTCATTAATATTCCTCTCTCCTTTTGTAAGAAAGTAGACATCACTCACAATGTTTCATGTAATCCACCCACCCTATAAAAAAGTAACTCTTGCATGCATAGCATGCCTATGTTTTGAAATAGGTGTATGCCCTTGGCCAGACTTGAGCGCACTATTTCAGTATACTAGTCCGACACCCGTAGTATCATTACACTTGATTCCAAGGATCCAGTACCATCCAGGTATCCCAGTTACCCTGCTCACAGGGTCTAGTTGAGAAATAGGCATGGAATCGTGACAAAAATAGGCCACGAAATAGAACTTACGTTCTGATGCGAGTCACGTACCTTTGAATGGTGATTGTTTGACTGGAGGAGATGACGCCATCGTGAAACGGGTAGTTCCATCCAGATCCTTTCTCTTTTCAAATATAACGTTCATGAGGTAGTGCACTTTGCTGGCTTACTCGAACAAATGAACAAACGTTAAGTCATAGCTTACGCAAGCAGGCGAGGCCGAAGCCTGTTCAAGTTTGCAAGAAGAGCGAAAAAGGGAGATTTTTCCAGCAGCGGAAGGCTGAGGAGAGAGGGAAATTTGTAAAAAGATGAGGGGAGAGAGCGTCTGAGCGATAGTGTGATAGTCAAAGAAATGAGAGGGGAGAGGTTAGAGCAATAGAATTATTATTTCATTTCGCGCCCCCTCCCCCCACCGTCTATTCTAATTGTAAATTGAACATGGCGAGTCGAAGAAACGATCGTAAGCTTGTGACGTTAACTAGCCCTAATAATGACGCCCGCGATGCAGGCCGATACTAACTAGCAAGGACTTGAAGAGATAACAATCTTAGTTGATGAAAAAGCCTATGAGAAATTCACCATTGCACATGCAAATATACTTAAAATACATTTGATTTTTAATCAATCCGCTGTAAATAAATTACAGTATAAAACAGACATTAAATTCGCCCGCAATTCACACTCGCATTTAGCTTTGAGAAAATACTAAAAGTAAATCGTGAAGACAAGTCCATTTCCACGAAATGCGAAGCCTAATAACTATCATTTCAAAAAAATTCTGATATATATTTCACGAGTGATAGCGTTCTGATTTCTGAACTTTTGTACTTGGGGGCTTCGAGGATCTAGGTGTTCCCTTAATATAAAAATTCTTCAAACAAATACGAACTAAAAAGTTTAAAAAAGGAACAAGCTCAGGAAACAACAAGGGGCAGAAACATTTTTTCCCCCATAAATTTTCGCAGCACTATTCAGAGAAGACATTTTTAGTGAAAACATGGACCTATCTTCACGACTTACCCGACACTTACTCCATCCAATTTATCTGAAAAGAAAACATTAATTATAATAATTATTGTCAAGCCCCAATCGTCCACATTACTTTTCACACTAAGGCACAAATACTTCTATATATTGATATAAGAATACACCCTTGACAACAAACTATACAAAACTTATAGAGCTACGCGCTTGCAAGGGGAATATTGAAATTTATAGAAACTTTACACTGCACAGTTGGGATATAAAAATAATGCTGTCAAAATAGAAACCTTCTAAGCCTTGTCAAGGAATGTGACTCTTACTTGTCATTATTTGCAGTCTTGTAAGCTTTTACTTTAAGAATTTGTTTTTAAGCGTAGAGCACCTCAATTTTAAAGAATAGCACTTAGTCTATAAAATAACTTTATGTTACATATGGAGAAATAGAAGTTGTAGTAGCAATTGAACCATTTCTAAAAAAAAAAAAAGTAAAAATTTCATAAAATAAAGGGTCTGTAATGTACAGCAGACTTACGAGTCCAGCAAGTCGCGTCATACAATCAGCAACATATCAAAATATGCGAGAAACGTAATAAACGACCTAGCTGTAAAAATTTTTTTCTGTACAACAAAGTCTTTAAAATTTGATCCTCTGTTTACAACCACAATACTTTTCCCTTGATACTGAAGGAAATATATTAGTAATAACTTTTACTATTCCTAGGAGGGAACATGTCCTTAGAAGTTAAAATATGCCCTCAATCTCGTTCTGTATTCTTCGTGTTTTTGTTACAACATGCCAAATGGAAAGTAGAAATCAATTTTTCACAGGACAAGCATTTTCCGCTGCTTATTAAAGGTTTTATGATACAGTAACATACAACAACAGTTTAAGAAGATGGAAAAAGATTTAAAAAGCAGCATTGCAAAAATAACTAAAATAATTTGAGCAAAATAATACAGAAATAATTGCATTATAATTATTAAGTTTTTTTAAAAATAAAACAGATATATACTTCTCCAGCGTGCTGATAAAAAACCAAGAACACTGAAGTATTTCAGCTTCGAACGGCTAATAGAAAGGATCACAGAGTCAAAGGGGAAAGAAGATAATTTGGGTCAGCTGAACTATATCCATCACCAATATGTCATATGAGAAGTCTTATTTGTCCGTAGGTCAGCTCGTGACAGTGTAAACACCACGGCTTCCGCGCTGCGAGCTACCTGGTCTTGGGTCAACTTCACGAGGCCATGCGCGGTAGTTTCCTTGACTACCTTCCCATCCTTTGTTAACAAGCAAACTTTCCTTTTCTTGCTCAGGTGAGGTCGGCCTCTGTAGTGCAAGAGTAGGGTTGTTATCATCTCCCAGAGACCGCCTGCGCCTGCGGAAAGCAGCACGCTGAGCAGCGGCTTTCTGCGCCTCTCCTGATATGTCTGACTGCTGACGAGACAAGTGAAGATGACGCTCGCTGTGCATCTCCTCTAGTAATTCAGCGATGTGTTGTGCATCCTTCTCCAGCTTGCGCTGGGTCTGAGAACCTCTACCGTCCCTTGACGATATTCTAGCCTTGGAAGGCAGTAGCTCTTTAGCAGAGTCCTTGTGTGATAAGAGTTTAGATTTGGTTCCATACTCTTTACTCACAACTCTGGGCGCTGCATGCGTTTTATTCACAACCGGCGGCCCTTTTGACCTATCGTTGACTAGAGAAACATTCATTCTTGACCGTGGCACATTCCAGTCGAGGCCGCTATCAGTTCTTCCTGAGCTATATCTAGCTGGTGATGTGGATAAATGTTTCGCTGGGCTGGACTCGAGCCGAATATTCCTCGAGCTCACCGTTCTGCTCTCTGGTGATCTCTGTGCTGTTTCTCGTTGCATGCCCCTCTGGCCCCTTGGCACTTGAACAGGCTGACCCCCCGGAGTCTTTGTAACACTTGGTTTGACGTTAAACTCTTTCAACGAAACCGGAGTCGTTGTATGAACTGATCCGATCTTTCTCCGAGCAGCAAGGGAAGATGGAGAATCTCTCCCCCTATTTTGGCTGCTACTCCGAGGTGTAGTATTACCATCGGACAGTCTACTTGAGGTGCTCTCAAATCTCTGCCGTAACGTACCCACCTTTCTGGAAGAAACTTCGGGTGTGCTTTCAACGCTAACCCTCCTCGGTGGAGAGGAGGGCTGGGACCTTGGCCGCTCGTCTGATGAAGGAACCGTGAAATATTTACTCGTGTTTATTTCTATTACACTGTTCGATTTCCGCTCTATTACAGGATTTTCAGCGTTCCTTGGAGTTGTATTTTTTTCAGAATTCCTTGTGTGAAACCCTTCTCCTTGAGAATCAGTTGAAGGGCTCACTCCAACAATCTTGTAAATTCTACCTGGTTCATCGGATGATCGCCGTTGTGCCGTATCTACGCCACTTGGGATTGGTCTCTTCAGAGGTTCGCTTCTCACAGAGGATCTATTCTCATAGTTTTGTGCCTCAACTCTGTTTTCTTTATTTCCATATGTGTTATCTACATCCAGTAAAATCCGTAGCTTTTCGTCAAACGTCTTGGACATGCTGATGGCGCATTCGTTTCCTTCGTCGCTGGATGCATCACTGCTATCTTCAGATCCCAGAGATCTCCTGGCCAGGCGGTGCTCTTCAGCACTGTCTCGTTTTGTCTTGAGATCCAGACTAGCTGGCCTCCTAGGTGATTCAAACTGCCACAGTGTCCCAGACACTACTCCACGCCCTTTTACAACAGCCACCACGGTTTCGTCGGATCTTGGCGTTGGCTCGTGATGTACCACCTCGTTTGCAAAAGACATCGCCTTCACGCTATTGTTTATCCGCGCTGCTTCGCTGTGAAGAGTTATACTAGCCTTCTTATCAGGATGAGGCTGAACAGTAACGTGAAGCGAGTCTAGCGACGGGTTCTTGCTGCTATGTGCACTGCTACTTCGGCTAGTGCTGCTGCTACTCAGCTGATCAGTACTCTCAAACACGCCCTGATCCGACATCTTCCGTTCACGCGATACGTCATCGATCCTTTCACCAGGTGGTGATGTGGGGGATGTCACCCCCCTATCTTCACTCTGTCGCCTTTTCTCCGCAGCTTTCTTCTGCAGGTTAAGCCTCAGCAGCCTTCGGCGTGTCTCTTCACTGAAGGAAGAGAAGCTCGGCTTGGGGGTGTTGTCCTGATCACTGGGTGGTTCGTCAGCCAACTTCTTTGCCTCTGTATCCTGCACCATGGTAAAGGTGACATCCAAAGGTGCAAGCGGCTGCTCAGGTGTTGCGGGACTGGTTGACCTTTTCTGGGGGTTAACGCGTCGATAAGACGGAGGGGGCGGCATTGCGTATGAATACGCCTTAAGTGAACCTGCTCCTTTAGCTCTAAACTCTGCGTCTGGAGGGTCTAACACTAACTGGAGAGAGCCCGGGGCACTCTCTGTACTCCTCTTGCTGCTAAATCTTGTTGATCGTTCCATGGTGGGCGAGTTAGATCTCGACCCATCTCCTGACAAAGCTCTCACCACCGGCGATCTCTCGAGAGGAGGCGAACCCTCGGATCCCTGTGAATCGGACAGCGGTCCATCGGAGGAGCTGCCCTGGCCCGAATCAGACTTTGAACTTTTACCACTTCGGAACTTTGGGATGTGAAGAGATATTCCGCTGGACTGTAAGACCAACAGCAAGCATAAGAAAAGGTTACAGTACATATCGAGACCGTGTGACCCATTGTCCTTTATTTAGGTATAAGGACCCCCTTGATAAAACATTCTATTTCTCATGACCAGTAAGCAGTCGTAACTGATCACGATTTACATAAAAGTGGGCTGAAGAAACAAGTATGGGCTGAGAAGAGAGATTAACTCAGAACTGACATTCAGCAGGACAAGAAAAAAAAAGTACAAAGCAAAACTAAACAACAACACTCACCTTCGGTTTATATGACCCATCATCTCCTGATATGGAAAGAAAACAAACAAATTAATGCTAATAAAAGGTAAGAGCCTTGTCCATACACACTCCGATTTGACTCCTCGTTGTTATATTCCCCATCTTGTGGAAGCAATACGTGACATATTCGAACGTTATTGGGAACCTCGCGGAACAAGCATGAGTAAACGGATACGGAATCCATTTTAGTCACGTGGTCTGCAAGACTGTTTTATCTCCTCGTTTGAACATATTGTAAGCAACTGTAACCATTTTTCATGGGTGTGGATCTGAAGTGCTACTACACTTTATGACACATGAAGGTTATACAGCGACTATTGTATTTTAGCCGGAACCTTGCTAATAAGGAAAAATCGTTTGTTCTCGCCAACCGCTAATCGATTCGACTAACGTAAAAATGAATGTTTGACCAGTGCCTTAAGAGTGCAAAATCCAAATAACAGTGTAGTTCAGGTATAGTATTAACAACGTCCAGTTTACTACCATAATACTACGATGATATTCGCCATTATAGTTAATCTCAGGTTTGTATGGTTTTTCTTGTTCGAGGAAAAGGTAAACAACTGAGAACTCACCGAAATTTACAGCAACCTGTCCTAAAGAGCTTAGAACATTTTGAGACAGGATATGCTCTTGCAGTGTTTCTTGACCTTGCGGGAGGGCCTATCAGGAAAATATCAATAACTTCTTCAGTCTACATCTTATAAAGGGTAATTAAAAGGTTTCTTTTCAACATCATGGCCTAACACATAGCGCTGTTAGTAAAATGCTGAAAACAACGAGTTTAGAGCGCTTTTCGATTAAGTGTCCTATAACGAAAACCGAAGTTATCACTTCGCCCAAGGAGACGAAAGAAAATACCGCAAAAAAAAAAAAGGGAGAACTAGCACTAAAACCAAGCGAACTTCCTAAAGCGCGGGAAAACACGGGTGACCAAGTCGTGATTGTTCTTTGTATTGCATCTGATTGGTTAAGAGAGTGGCGCGAGTTTTCTGGACCAATCACCGAGCGAAGTAAGGCAAAACCAATACAATCTGGGATTACTTTCGACACTCACCCGAAAACCACTCCAAAAACAGACGAACAAACAACAGGGAACGGTCTGAACTCGACTATTTTGATATTGATTACCGAGTAGGATAAACAAATGTTGGAAGAAAGATCAACTGGGCCTGAAATAATGAGCAATTTGTGCTTGTTGACAGGCTTTTTTAGACATGTGTGGCTCGACCCACTTTTGCTTGAACCCATTTAACTCGTCTAATGCACGAGGCATTAACTTACACGTTTCACAATGCAATTCAGATTCGCCCGAGTCTCCTCTTAACAGAGCAACTAACAAAAACCACAATCTCAAGAAAAAACAATTAAAATGGAAGGAAAAAGTAATTGAATGATACCTTCACTGGGCATTCATCACCTTCAGACTCCTCAAAAAACCAATCACACTGAAATAAAGTTTGCAAGTTTTAGTACAAATGGAACTTGCATAATAATAACGTTGAGGCCATCCTAAGTTTATCGATCCTTTAATTTTCTTACTTCAGATATAAGTGTTTCAACTATGCGACACTGGTCCGACATGTCTTTCACCATGGCCATCATAGAGTCGTCCCCAGTCCTAATGATGGTTGGGCCGAACACAATGGCCAGGTTACGTACTTCCATCTGCAAAGCAGAGCAACAAAAGACTTGTTCGTTCTTTGGTATTATATAGAGTTTTGGCATGTGATTACTTCAGAGTTGTTAATCTTTACGGCGATATTCCCCAACACTTAAAACACTAGCCGAGCAATGTTTGAAACAATCGAGTATAATGTATGTAACGTATAGGACGTTTTGGTGTGTAGTATCTCTCAGGATTTTGACCAACAAGGAAATTGTAATGGACTCACGCGGTATTTGTTCATTACTTAGCGCAATAGGATAATAACGGAATATCAAATAACTCCGCTCACTAGGCTGTAAACAACATTCGGGTTTCTTCTTTTTATTTTTGGGGCGCAAAAATCCTGGCAAAGTCAGGTTCAATCGCCGTGCTTCCAATACTGGCAAGACCGAGAGGACAAAATTACTCTCACTAAGGGGAGCGGATAGCAGGCACTTCAGTCAAGAGTAAATCTGTCTTTTTCTCCGATTTCTCTCACCAAACGATCGCACTAAGCCCTTGTAATTTTAACTCGCAAAGTAGAGGCATTGTTAACAGATAACTGGCCAACACGAGTGGAAAGATACAGTGTGCATGACTATTCACATTACCTTATTCTTGTCACAGTTATCTGACACCAACTTCAAATGATTCACGAGTGATTTGAGTGTTTCAAAGTTATAATCAGGCAATTCTTGCACCTAACGAAAACAAAAAATCAGTAACGAACAACTCCTCTGTACTCCGTGATTTGAGTCGTCATCAGTCCTTCATCCGTAACAACAAATTAACCCCCTTATTTTATCCTGAGGAGATTGCCCTTCACCCTTAAACTCAAGGAGGGGATGAAAAGGAGAACAGAAAAGTATAACGGCAAAAGGGTTATGTAAGGGGTAATCTTTTAATCACCCGTGAGTGACCAAGCCAGAATTTCTCCCAACAATATCAAACGGGTACGGGTACGGGTACGAAAACGGGTACGAAAACGGGTACGGGTAAGGGTACCCTACTACGCTTAATCTCCAACACTTACTCTCCTACGGGTACTCTCCTACGGGTACTGTCCTACGGGTACTCTCCTACGGGCACTCTCCTACGGGTACTCTCCTTCGGGCACTCTCCTACGGGCACTCTCCTACGGGTACTCTCCTACGAGTACTATCCTAAGAGCACTATCCTACGAGCACTATCCTACGGGTACTATCCTACGAGCACTCTCCTACGGGCACTCTCCTACGGGTACCCTCTTACGGGTATTCTCCTAAGGGTACTTTCCTACGGACACTCTCCCTTGGATGCTCTCCACGTTACAAAAGGTGTAATGTACCTACCGGTCACCAAAAATACCGTGACCTCATTCCTAAGAGCAAAAAGCCTTCCACTACCTCATCATCATACTATACACAAAACTAACCATGGATCTTATCGCCCACATCCTTTCAACAGGGTCCTCCTTCTTATTGGCTTCAATAAATCCATCGTACAAATCTGTGCAAGGAAGTATGAAAAAAATGTTAACAATGACTCAATTTGTTGGCCCCCAAAACAAACAAGCAATCGTCTTATTCAGAAAATAAAGGCACATATTTATTACTTAATCCGTTCGCTACTGATACTTTATTATATTTTGCTCAACCTCGTCTAACGATTGTTCATTTCTTTTGATTTTCTTAGTACCTGCAGTAACAAGACCCTCCGGTAACTTCCGCAAGAAGAGTTTTATGAGGCTGGTGATATTATTGACATCATTCCACCTCTACAAAGAGACATTTAGAAATAAATGAGAGTCCAAAAACAACCTCATCAAGTTCTAAACGTTTACATAACTAGTGTGAAGTGAACCTATTTCCATCAGAAATACCAATTCAATGACAAAAAGACTAAAGGGAATCGAGAGAAGATGACCACATCGTAAACCGTAACTATAACTCTTTGTTTCCAGACATGAATGAGGTAAACGAGGATTACAGCTTCTTTATGTTGTCGCTCTCCAACTTGTCACCAGTGCTTTCCGTTCCCAAACACCGTCCTTAAAATCTGGCTTTGATTAAAGTTAACTTCACAGTACAAATGCTTTTATACCGGAACTTTATTGACCCGCCATTCTGTGTTAATACTAATATCCTTGGCAAACAAAAAGAAAGGCTTGAGCCAGTTCATCTTTCCAGTTCATCTTTCCAGTTCATCTTTCATCCACTTTCCGAAAAAAAAAAAAAAAAAAAAAAAAACGCAAAATTTCCTGTTCGGCACCTCATACAGAAAAGGTAGCTATCCAAACTAGCGCTAAGATATTCCAAAGACACCTCGATAAAGCTCAAATATCGCAGGCATACGGCTTACTTTTTAAAATCTGACATGCAATTACATTTAAAAGCTGCAAAAGCGTTTCTAAAGACACGACGACTAAAGTACCTCTTCCTCGAGACAAATATTTTCGATCCCTCGGTTGTTGAGCTCTTCTTGTAAAGCAGTGACAGCAGCGGAATTTCCAGGAACTCTATAAATAAACAAGGAATAATAAAAAATTGCTTAGGGTTATAATACATATGTTCATGAAATAGGGAAAAAGAGGTGAAGGATCGCTTTACGAAAATCGTGGAATAAATTCACAAAATGAAAAGAAATAGAAGAGGGAAACTTGAAGTGGAAATTGCACAGACTGCGGATGAGGTGCACAACACCGCTAAAACGTATGTTGATAGTTTCTAGAAACACGATAATCGATTTTTGATCCCCTATTCTCGAAAACTTTGAGGATCAAAGCTTAATTCGAGTTTTGAGACGTTCGAGACCGTCTAACCCTTCACATTCATATTCTCCACACTGATCTCTATACATTTCCTGAGGCGCTAACAAGGAGAATTTGTTTAACAATCATCAGAAGCTTCTTAAACTGATGATGATTTCCTTTTGTCTCATGCCCTTTATATTTGATTCAAGTCTGATACTGTAAGGAGAAATTAGAAGCCAATCTCTCAGGGGTTCAAGGGTAAAGAAATTATCAAAGGGCTTTCGAGATATTCTTATATTGTTTACCTGTAGACACCAACAGTCTCCAGTCCCTTTTTCTCTACCACCTCACAACAGTGTTCCACGATCAGAGGCACAAACTGCGAGAAAACAAATTCAAGTTATTGTTAAAACATTACTTTTCTTTTGGACTCTGAAATATTTATTCCAAGTCCATCATTTTATTAACCGATAAAGGAACAGCTGATAGACAAAGCAAAAGAGTATTTTACACGCTAAAAGATGCAAAAATCACTCTAACTCTTTCCTTGGAAATTTTCCTTCAAACTTACTTCGATTATTCAGAAGAGCGACTTGAGATAGACTACCACAAAATAAGCTGGACATTTAACAACCCTTTTTAAAAAGTCGATTTGTATGCATTACGGAAATTTTAATCATAGACAAAGAAATTCGAGAGTAAAACTGTAAACAAAACGGATATTTTGTTAGCGAAGTTGTTTCGTTTACTTTTTCACGTGGGTTTATCTACGAATGCGACAAGAAATATTTTGTCGAAACCACACACGTTCCCAAAAAACTGTTGCATAAGATTACCCATAACATCAACATAATAAAAGCGATTTCCATGCCATGTTCACTTCTATCCTTTAGTCAACAGCTGTGAAATTGGTTTGACTGACTGTTTCCAGCCTCCTTAAAATGCGTCAGAAAATTGTTCAAACATGATTTTTTTTAAATTGAACTGGTCAGGTCTTTCAGGTATTAATAGCAATATAAGGCATAAAAAGAGACTCTTATAATATGATATTTTCTTTTTTTTATATGTTACTAAAAACAATTCCTCCTTAATTGATAGGGTGCCAATTGGAGTCCATGTCATCAGCCTGAAGTTGAGACTTGAATCATTATCAGCCAGACATACTAAACAAAGAAAGTTCAAGCTGGCCAAGTGTCAGGAAAAACTGTATTTGTGACAATCTCCGAATGCATCTAGCTGTTCAAATTTAAAATTTAGTCACGTAGGCAAACTGATTTTGAAATATTTTAATTAACTTTGAGTTCGATGAAATGTTTAGGCTTTTTTATTTCCGTTTCGCACCAGGAGAGAATTTGAAACGAAACAATGGTAAGAATAGGATAGAACGCTATCAGAAGTTCGTTGCTGCGCAAACAGGATAAGGTGTTATGTAAAATTTCGAAAAAAAACAAGACATTTCGAGCCAGAAATGATCACTGTTATTCCATACGCTTACTTACACATTCTTTACAAGTTACAATAATATCTCTAAAATTCATAGGCGTCTTGAGAGTTTTTCTATCACCAAAAAAAAAAAAAATTCACTACCCTTGTGATCAGTTCGCACGGCAATATGGTGTTAGCCTTCCTTAACTAATCCTTGACTAATGACCCCAAACTAACTGAGAAAGTTAAACAACGCAGTAAAGTAAAACTATTTTCACGTTTGTTTCGATTATGTCATTTTGAATTGTCGTATTCCGGATAATTGCCGTCGCTTAAAACATATGCTTAAGACGTGGTTGGTGTTCCGATTCCGATGCTGCTTTCCATATGGAAATATGGGGGAGTTAATTATGGGGAATATGGGGGAATTAACATGTGGGGGAGGAGAAAGAGCCCTGGGTAAATTTTATCGTGACGCAACCAAAATCCTCCCCTCCCTGCCTCCCTGCCTCCCCCTTTGTCATTGTTTTCTTACTCTTTAAAATGGCGGAAACGAAATTTTGCGCAAAAACTAAACAAAAAGATGTTGGGACTTATCGATTGAAAATACAGTAAGGTATTTGGCGCCTGCATACTTTTAGAAGACTGAGATCTTAAACTCATTTGCATACCATATGGTGTCGTCGGATGAAATTTTACAAAATTCGTAAGACCGAACCGAAATGACTGTTTCATGCCGGAGATAACTTTGAAATAACCCTAAGAAAGGTGTGTCATACCTAGTTGCAAGGGATTCGGAAAAAAAATTAAGAACACCCCAATATATTCTTTGAGAAGAAGATTAATGCTCAGCCCGAAAAATCCAGCGCACAGGTGGTCGAGCCCACTCCCACTTAAACTGCCTAGTTAACAAATGATGGAGTTCTTTTTTTTTTTTTTTCCTTTTTAGTTTTGTTCTAGACTATTTTTAACCCTTTAACTCCCAAGATCTCATTAGTAATTCTCTTTACTGTCTGCCATACAATTCATATCATATTAGTTTGGAGAATTTGGAATTGGATCAACCAATAATCCCTCAATTGATATTTTTCTGTACTCTCATTACTTGTCTGCTTGATATCGTGCTGATAGCGTAAGGAGAAATTATGTGTAGGTCACTAGTATGACTTAAAGGGTTAATGATTTACTTTCATGTTTCCTTCTTTTTTTTTCTGTCAAGCAAGCTGCCACGTATATAGCAGGTGATTCATGATCTACCTTTATGTTTTAGAGTTATTTTCCTGTAACTTAGTGAACAAGTAATTTATGAATCGCGGCCAGAAACCAACCAATGGATACTTAAGAACTATAAAGAGTCGTTGAACAATTTATTCGATTCTACCTTCATGAACAACATTTATTTTCAGACTTCCTAATTAGCGAGTACTCGTTTAAAACGCGCGCTCGAAATGCCTTATGGGTGACAAGTAGGACAATTCTCATTTTTCTAAGGTTTATTCTCACTGGAGTTTATGATTTGCCCTGATTTTCACGCAGTGTAAATATTTTTAAACCAACCTTGTTAGCCTTGGATGATGGACACAGCTCTAGTGGTACACCAACAGAGTGCCCTAAAAACACAACATGATACAGTAAGTCCCTTAAATTGCCACAGCAACGGCACTATCACAGTCTTCTCATAAAATTGAAATACTTTCAATGTTTAAACGACTATGTAAGCTCCACTTTTACCATGGAGAGGTAATGCAGGTGTGAGTTATGATCCGCACAGAGTACTTTGACAATTTCATAAAGACAATTCTATTATTAGAACACAAGTAAGCTTACAATGTAATAACACCGCATCTGCCTAAACATTCCCTCGTTAAAACGTAGTCAACTACAGCGATAATTGTGACCACTTTTAGCCGCCTAGTTACTTAGGACACTCTACCTGATGGATAACTATTTGGGTGTTTAGGTTTCTTCCGCTTGTTGGTCGATTTGTTTCCATGGTTTTTCCCACCTTCACCTTCAAAAACAAAATCATCATCAAAAAAACAACCAAAGATGACAAATTTTCAAAAACCAATAAATTACTAGGGAATACAAGTCAAGACTGCAAAGTTTCAAATGTCACGAAATGAGAGAAACTGCAAAAGTTGCGGCGAAAACTACGATTAAAACTGTAAAGGAGCAGAAACAGTACAAAGATGAGTAAAGCGTTGAGCAGAGGCTGCAAGTGTGAATTTCAGAGCCTCGCTGTCTTTCCCAGTTCGAATTTAGATGTCTTGCCAAATAATAAAACCCAGGATGTCTCTAAAAACAAAGCCAACTGGGGAAAAATATACACGTTTTGAACACCAAAATCATTTGAAATGTCCAATTCTCAAACTGTCACTAGGTGTAACCCCTCCTCTCCTCCCATCGTGTACCAGACGGGATAGGAAGGAGTTAGAATAAACGAGCTCAGACCATCCGAGCATCAGACTATCATCATATTTGCGTCTTGCACCTTTCGGTCCAGCGGTAATGTTCTTGAATGACAGGCTCTTCTTGATGTTTGATATTCCAAGGCTGTGTATCCTGGTGTTCACTGGAGGCGACATTTTGTGACCAGACGAAGCAGCGGTTGTACTATAAAAAATAACATTGGCTCAACGTTAGTATCTGAGAAACTGCCTACCTACCCCTCCCCAACCCAAAAACAGTCAACTAATAACAAGTTAGGTTGATGTTTGGTTAGGGGAAGGGTAGGTGCGCAATAGCGCATATACTGAGATTGATTATTGAAACAATAATGATTATCAAGAGAGAACCCTTATCTTCACTAGCCACCCCTGTTTATCTTTGAGTGACCAGCATCTAATTTCTCCTTAAAGTAACACCGTCGAACCACTCACTACGATCATGAAAATAACTAAAAGGATATGATCGCCAAACTAAGAAACTTTGATTGTTGCACAAATTCTCCTTGTCAGTACCAAAGGAAATGTATAGGGATGAGTATAGAGAATATGGATTCTGATCTTAGGGTGTAAAGGGTTTAATTATTTATAAATTTATTTCTTTATTAGCGATATTTATGCAGGCTGGCCCAGTTCAGCTTCAAGCTGGTTTGAATGAGGGTCTGCTTAAGACATACCAGGTAAAACAACATGTATTTAAAAATATAAAATACAAGAGAAGCTCACAACACAAATTACAATTTACACTTAAGATATAAAACATACGTTACATTACAAAGTATATTACATCAAGTACATGCTTCAAGTCATATAACAAGAGCGGTCCTCTTCACAGTTATAAAATTAATTTCATACATACATTTTCTTTCACGCTACAAGGCTGATAGCATTTCTAACGATATACGTGGTTAAAGGAGTTAATGTTTACTTCTTACCCAGAAGTCTCTTGTTCCACCGTTTTCATCCTTCTGATGATCAAACTCTGACTACTCACGCCATTTTCCTAAGAGAAAAGTCATCTTTACGTCTTTGATGATCTCATTACAGAGTGTGCAGCACCACACAATAAGGGTTCTAGTTAGTAATGCATCTTAGTGCGAAACCAAGAGGGGGAAAGGAGTGGAGAGGAGAGGGAAAAAAGCATTCTGGGAAACCTACAATAAACAACAGTTACTTCAGTTTGCCACTTAGAAACAGTTGGGTAGGGTCCATCAAAACTGCAAACGTCTAGAACCCTTAATAAACTTCAGATAGCATTTCTGTTTGTATTACTTGACAGTTTTATGAACTAATTTCAGTGATTTATCTTTTTGGTGTTCTATATTCAACATAATAGCTCAAAATTACTTAAAATAATGGAAAATACACTAACATCTTCATCTGGGTTGTTGTTGGCCTGAATGGCTGCAATCCAAGACATCATGGAGTCAAGATCTTCACTCTACAAAATAATGAAGAGAACTACTGTTAACCCCCTAATTTCCAGTAGCAATTAAAATATAACTTCTCCATATAATATCTATACATTACCCAGCACACAGGTAATGGGAATACTTGAACTGATCAGGTGGAAGTTGTTATCATGATCTAACACCAAATCCTCAAAACCAATTTACAAGGAAAAATATAACAGCTGGAGCATAGAATTAACAATCAGATCTTGGGAGTTAAAGGGCTAGCCTTTCTTTCCACACAAACAAAATAATAATAATAATAATAATAATAATAATAATAATAATAACATAGTAACACTTATAGAGTGCCCACTAATTGCTCAAAGCACCACACAACAATGATTAAACTATAAAATGAAAAGCTAATAGCTATTATAATGAAATTAACTAAACTACACTGTCTACTAAAAGCTAGACATCAATTGTTATTATTACCTACTTTCTTGAAACAATTCAGTGGAAATGTTTCAGGCTGAGACAGGGACCATAGCCTACAAGCTTTTTAAGTGGATTACCTGAAATAAGAACTCTGATCCATTGAATGTTGTCAATCTGAAAACATTCTTTCTTTTTGTGTAGTCATGGGCAATGTCCACAATGCTAGACTTGATGCTGATGGGCTGTTCATCAGAACTGTCCTCCTAAAATTTTACATAGATTAAATCAGACCCTTTGAAACACACAATATAATTACAATTTCAAAGAATAGTCTTGACACAAAAAGTACTGATTCTCACAGTCAATTTACAAGGAAATGTGCAGCAGCTGGAGGGGAGAATTAACAATCAGATCTTGGAATTAAAGGGTTAAACGACCCACCTGATGAGCAGAGTGTTTATCTTTATGCAAATAGAGAACATGGCCTCTGAGAACAGCATACACAGGTTTCCAAGACCGTGCACTTGAGCGCTTGAACCAAAGAAAAAATAAAGTACCACATTAACATATGATAGTTCAAAATCTAACCAACATCCTTACTTCTTTCCTTTTTCACCAACACCATTTGAGGATAATTTTTATACCAATTAATTCCAATTTTGATTTTTCTTCTATTCTTTATAGCGGAGCTCGCAGAGCGTAGCCCCATAATAATACAAAATAGTAGTAACCCATCAAGCCGAAAAAAATTTGGATGTATGACCATATGACTGTAGTCCAGTGGTCAGTGCACTGGGCTCCAAGTCGGACGACCCGGGTTCTAGTCCTGGCCAGGGCAAGGCGTTGAGACATGCGGCTTGGCTAAATCTATATATTATCTTTCTTTTGGACAAGTGTTTTTCCAAGAAGGAAAGAGGGAAAATGTTTGAATTGATTTTGTCAGTAAAATATTGCATATTGAAATGGCTCATTTAATATCTTCTTACAAATTTACAGAAATGTGTTAGCTTTTCTCAAGAATGGGAGTTGGAATCATTATTTGCCATATCGACCTTCATAGCAAAGAAACATGCTTTTACTTTCATAGCTTGATTGTGAGTGCCACGACAATTACAGAAATCTTAACAATTTATATCATATTCTTTGCAAAAAAATGTATAAATACAAAACTTATGTTTTAAATGTTTCTTGCCCTCATACCTTGCCTCCATCCACCACTGCTACTTTTCTATAAAGAAGACCTTCCTTGCACACCTGCACGATTGTACCACAAACATAATTGAAACATCAGTTAAACTACATCTAAAAAATTAATGCTGATATAACAGCATCCTTTTCAGTTGTGAATAAAGAAGTCTACTAGCATTAAAACACATGCACTAATTATATAAAATCAGAGTATTTAACCACAGGAAAGATAAACTAACATTTTAATGGGACCTGAGTTCTTACCCCCAAGAACCAAATTACTTATTAACAGCAACACAGTGGCTTACCTCTGATATTCCTGGAACTTGATCATTTCTATCTTTGGTTTCCTGGTTGAAATAGATGTGTCAATTAACAATTGCAGTTAGTTATTTTATTACACCCATTTTGAAATCACTGGTGGTCCCTGTAATCTGATTGGCTCAAATTGGTGTGATTTAGTCACAAATCGCACCATTTTTTGCTTTAAATTGCATCTTTTTCTCAGCCAATGAGGAGGCTACACTAAAAACAAAACAATCAATCAGATTTCAAGGCTTGTTTAGAGTAACCAATCAAATTGCTGTAAAATGTGAGACAAAGAGTATCATGCGGCAAATTTTGCTACTTTAGATTCCAAAAACAAAACCCCCCAAAAAATGGATGAATTTAATTTCAAACCAGCTCAGTACTGCATCAATAAAATATTTTAACTGACCAAGGCCTGTATTTGAGCGATATCAAAATGGATGTAATAAAGTGGTAATTGAACCTCATGTCGTACAATTTTGGTCTGAAATCATACTTGTGGTTTCAAATCGAACTCACGCTGCGCACTCATTCAATTTTGAAATCACGCATATGATTTCAGCCCAAATTGCACTCCACTCGGTTCAATTACCATTATTTATCAGCTGTGGATTCATCAAGATAAAAAGCATAAGGGTTTGTAGAGCTCAAGGTAACAGCTGGTTTGAGAAGTAGGTCAGGGGCACTCTAGCTTCTTCACCAGAGAGATCATGAAATGACTTGTCAACACTTTACATTTAATTTAAACTTTGTGCATTAAGTTATCCAGTTTGGGATGAACTAATATGCTTCATGAATAAAGGGGGCACGTTTCTAAAGAAACTGTGGTGCTGCATTGGTGGGAGAGTACAACAGGGTAATATGGTATTGTAAACTGAGTTGATAACATAAATTAGCCACCAAAAAGAATTTCAAAGCTGAAATTTTGAGCATAAGCCCTTGGTCCAAGCAAGCAATGCTTAAATCTGATCACATATAGTAACACACATCCTTAACACACATCATTTCAAATGACAAAGTTGTTATAAGAGGTTTATCGCAATGACATCTTAAGTAAATTCTCTAAATAATTTTTCCAACGCATGTAAGGTATACAACTTTTCATCCTTGATGCATGTTTTTTGGTTCAGTTTTATACTTGGTTACTTGTAACCTCTCCTTGTCACTCATTTTGATACCTTACCACTTCCTTGTGCCATGGCAATAAACATTTTTCAACCAGGGATCAAATTGAACCTCAACATACTGTAAGCTCCCATACTTTAAAAGGTGCCATCCTGCTACACCACGCTATCAAAAGGGTGTCTCTCTCGAATAAGCCCCTCCCCCCTCCTCCCTCACTCTCTTAGATGGTGGGGATACAAGGAAAGCCCATTTCTAATGCCACTTAATTCATAACTTTTTGAGCTACAGCTACAGCTGAACCAACACAGATTAATAGTTTCTAAGTAAATAACCCTCCTTTAACCCCTTAACTTCCATGAGTGACCAAGACAGAATTTCTCCATACAATATCAATACAATATCAACCAGATGAGTAATGAGAATAAAGAAAAAAATATCAATTTGGGGATAATTAGTTGATCCAATACTAAATTCTCTGAGCTGACATTATAGGAATCATATGGTTGACAGTAAGGAGAATGACAAATTTGATCTGGGAGTTGAAGGGTTAAGCCAGATTTTTTAAGAAGTGCTCACTTTAAATAGGTGTCCACTTTGTATGTCAACATGTATGTCATTGAAAGGTTTTTACCTCATCTTCCTTGGTAGCTTCCAGTGATGCTTCATGTTTAGATGTTGGAGATGACGTTGCCATGACATAGGAGATACGTCTGTTTGTTCTTTGGGCTGTACCCTCATTGGAAGACTTTTCATCACCAGTGCCTGAAAACACCTATGCAATACATAATGGATGGTCAATCATGCAAAATGTAAACAAAATAACAGAGAGAAAACTGAAATACATATTTTCATAAGTGATTACAAAGAACAGACCCAGTTATGTATAGATAAAGTGCAATTTGTTATTTGTTATCATAATGATGAAATTCTTGGCATCCTTGCCAACAGAGAAAGTAACTTAATTACCAATACACTTACATGTATACCAAAAATATATTATTATAAAGAATAATGAAGTAACCAAGCTTTTACTTAATAATTTCCTTTTTGACCTATTCCTTTATAGTAAAATGTATTCAGTTGTTGGTATTTCCCAACACTAAAAACAATTTAGATCTGGCAGTTAGCTTTAAGAGAGTTTAGTTATATATCTCATTCTTAATAACAGACCCATAATAGACTGCTATACTATTTGCAAGTTGGCCAATATTTATGTTAATAATCTGGAAATTAGATAAGTGTGAAAGTGTGAGACTGCCCAAAAATTTAACAAAAGCCCTCAACAATTTCTCCAACAGCCTTGCACTAGTAAAAGCTAAACTCCAACTTTGATTCTCAAAGCTTTGCTGGAGGATTTGAATTGAACGGACTATCAACTTACATCTGGCTGGCACTGTACCTCATCCTCCTGCTCACTAGAAGGAATGTCCATCCCTTCATCCTCATTCACGTCCTCACAGAGCTCCATTCCAGATGAAACATGTACCATAACTGGTGGTAACATATTAGAAAATGCTTCAACCAATGGTGACTTTCCCTTGCTTTGAGGAGCTGTGGACCAAATTTTCTGGTCTGATGGAGAAGAAGAGGAAGGACCTTTGGCGGTTGCCATTAGATACGAAACCCGACGTGGCTTTGGACTGCCTTGTTTGTTTGCTGCAGATGGGTCTGGTTCAGATACAGTATGTCCAACTGTTCGTGTGACAGTCATCTCATCAAAAGGAGGCTTGTTTGGATAAACAGATAGCTGACTTGAATATGCAGCTTGTTTCATATGGTCCTCACTCTGCCGTGGCACTTTGGCTGGATGAGGAGATTCTGTGTCTTTGTGTGTTTCAGAATTTGATTGTGATGACCAGCTCCCAGTGTCACCACTCTGTCTATGAGGTAGCCCTTCTTTACTTTCAAGAAGTGTGGCCCCCATTGTTGATGATTTCAACCCCATTGGACTATTCTTGTTCATATGAGACGCAATAGTTCTGATTAGATATGATGTGGTCTCCTCATGGGAAGGGCGACTCTTCCTGTAACCTGGATCTGTTGCCACTGGCTGACGAGACCCCATGTCAGGGCTTGTGTTCATGTACGTTGTTGAAGGGCTATCTGAAGCCACAGTTCTAGGTGCTGACAGCATGAATGGGGGTATGCTAACTGAACCATGTTCTTTACTTTTTGATCCAAACCTGTCATTTACAGAACCGACTTTCTCTGGCTCAGATTTTCCACCAGGGCTCCTGTTTTGATCTTCATGCCCTTGTGTTTCTCCCACTGGAAGAGAATGAGAACGGCTCTTAGTCCAAGAATCTTCCAGGACTGTTAGAGTGTTTCCCATTTTGGAACCTTTGTCAAAACGAAGAGCAAGAGGCCTCCCAGTGGAATCGGTGGCTGCCATAAAATAAGAGCCATCCATATGAGGGGATTTCACAGAGCTACTTTCCAAAGTGCTTGAACTTCTCGACTTTAAATTATTATTGTAAGCACTGCTCTCCGAGGTGATAACAAAACTCCTGTTCTCCATTGCAGTCCTGTCCACAGAACCACGCCTAAGAGTGACACTTGGAGTAGGAATACCCCTATCATAAACTGCAGAGCTCTGAGAATCTTTGTCAGACAATTTCAGGTGGAATGAGTTTGCTGGATTTATGGTCACAATAGACATGACTCTTGTTGGGCTGTCATGACTTGACAGTCTTCTGTACACTGGTTTGGGCTTGACAGGAGGTGGTGACTGACTGGTGAATTCATGTGACCTAACAGATATGCTTGATGGAATAGAGGACAGTGTGGGAGTCACCTGCATGAAATAAAAGAAATTAGACATTCAACGAGCAATATTTTGAATGGGTCATTTTACCTTGAGACAGATGATACTAGTCTGTTTGTCTAGAACTTTTGGGATGATACATGGCTTTTATTCATTAGTCAATACCAGAAAATGAAGATATTAAGGCGCTTTTTGATCAAGTGTTGTGTAAACCCAAAAAAACCACAACAGGCAATCATGGCAAGAAATTAATATCACCAGAAGCTAATTTGAACTCAAAGTAAATAACAAACTAACTGCCTGAAGTGCTCGAAAACACAAGTGACCAAGTAAATAGTCCCTATTAGTTTTGGTTTTGGATCTGCTTGGTCGTGAAAGTGGCATGACTTTTCTGGACTAATCATGTAATGACATTAAGTAAAACCAAAGTAATCCTAGATTATTTTTGACAAGCAATTGAAAATTGATCTAAAGAAATTGTGATCTCATATTTTTTCCTGGCTAAACTCAGATTTATTATTAGCAATTTCTCAAAGTAAGAGAACCAAAACCAAATACTGAGCTGTGTATCTTTAAATTTGTGCAAGAGTGATATTCAAGTAATCTGTGCAATACAGGGTATGTTGGCTACACCACAACAACTTGCACAGGAGATTCTGAAGTGTGTACCTTTATATGCATGGAAGAGCGATTTTAACCCTTTGAGTGATTAGCATCTAATTATTCTTTGCAATATCATCCTGAATCACACAGTAAGGTCACAAGAATAAAGAAAATGATCATCAACTAAAAAAGGTTGATTATAAAGCAAATTCTCCTTGTCAGCACCTTAGGAAATGTATGGAGAATATCCATACTGATGTTGGGGAGTAGGAGGTTTACGTAGTCTTTGCAATACAAGGTATGTTAACAAGATATACTAAGTAATTGCTTAATTGCATCTTGCACAAGGGAGTCAAGAACCAAAAATGTCATCATCATCACTGACACAAAAACAAACCTAAGCCTATACTTACCATTTGAAGGACACAATCTTCTTTTGGAATGATGCCTAGTTCCAAGAGTTCTTGGCTGAGAAGTAGAATAATAACTATTTAGAGAAATCTTGTGAACAAAATTGGGAACATGGTAAGTGGCTTCTACCAGTAGTACTGGATAAGTGCACCATTCACAACAATTTCATACTGAAGGGTGATCAAATGACTCATAAAACCTTGACAGAACTTTATATGAGAAGACAACTGGTGAGGGAAGACTCTTTAATGCAACAAACATTTCTGTGACCTTATTACTGACCTTGAAACTATGAGCTCAATCACTTGTGAATATGACTTTCCCAATACTGGATTGCCATTGACGGAAACAATTTGATCACCTGGAAAAAGGCAAGAAGTGTACATATAGGTTAAAATAAAGCCACTTGAAATATACTCAAAGGTTGGACCTGTGCTACAGGTAATAAGCAAGGCTCAATATAATTTTTCCAGCTGGCCCCCATCAAGTTGGCCAGTCAAAACTATTTCTAACACACACCATGTTTGGCTGGACAAACACCATAAGTCATATCTCAATAACTCCCCTCTCCCCCCTGTGAAACAAATATACTTAAGAAAAGTGATACAGCCATATTTAAAACCTGAACTTAGCTTGGCATTAAATTCCTCTTCACCCAAATAAACAACCGCACAAAATGTTTGGCCATCTAGAGTGTTGACCACACAAAACCTATATTTGACTGCACATGGTCCATCTACAGCTGTTATTTTGAGCCCTGATGAGAATTTTTCTTCAATCCTAAGGTGATTGGCCAAAATGTGCAAGTTTAACCCTTTCACTCCCAAGATCTTTCTACTGTCTGCCATACAAATCTGATGATGAAAGTTTGGAGAATTTTGTATTAGATCACTAGTATTCCCCTACTTGATGTTTTTCATTTTTCAATCACCTGTCTTCTTGATTTTTGTCTTGATAATGTAATGAGAAATTCTGTTTTGATCACTCTTGGAAGTTAAAGGGTTAAGCCTGAGCAGGTAGGTCTTAATGTCATGTTCTGGCACGACACAACTCCCAAAAGTGGTTCTAACCACCCATGAGTACAAATGGGTGGCAGCAACCCCTCAAGAAAACCTGAGGGTAATCCACGCTGATTAATCCAAAGTTGCCCTTTCCCCAATCCCACACTATGTCAAACACAATCATACTCCTGCGTGGAAAGAGGTGGGGGGAAAGGGTTGGAGTGGGGTTTTGGCGATTATTCAGTTACCACATCTACCACCATTTGTAATTCTTGTTGTACTGTACCTGTGGAAAGTCCAGCCCTGTCAGCAGGTCCACTAGGTGCAACTTGTCGCACAAAGACTGTGTCCATGGGCTCTGACTTTTGCCTCTCAGCATCATCAACATGATGATCAATGCCATTAACACCTGGGTCAGGCTGCAGTAAAGGAAAAGCCATGTCATGTTTTGATAAAAAGAAAATATTTCTATTATGTAAACATTTTTTTTAATCAACAGGCTCAAAAAGCTGTCAAGGAACAACCAATGATTATAGTTTAGTACCCAACAAGTAACAATGCACAATGCTAAACCACAGACAAAAACTTTCCCCCAGGCCTTCCATATCTCAAAATTACATATAACACTTTCTTACAGTTGTGTTTGTGCCCTGTCAAACTTCACCAAGTCAATCACATTTACCCTATTACTGTATGTACTTCTTAACTGTAGGACTGAGAGAACACAAACAAAAGGAAACAAGCATGTTTGTCTGTGTCATCTAAGCCTCATAATTAACCCTTTAATTCCCAAGATCTTGTTAGCAATTCTCCTTACTGTCTGTCAAATGATTCTCATTATGTTAGTTTGGAGAATTTGGTATTGGATCAATTAGTAAACTCATAATTGATAAATTTTTCTCTATTCTAATCACTTTTCTGCATGATATTGGACAGATATAACAAGGAGAAATTCTGTCTTCCTTACTCACAGGAGTTAAAGGGTTAAGCTTAAAGTTTTACTTTAGGAGAAGCCTATTACAAGCTATTAGCCCTTTCCTGTTTCCCTTTTACATGCTGAGCCCAAGATAATTTCTCTGTTCACATGTTGTAGCAAAACTCAGAAAAAATAAAGGAAGTAAGTCAATTTTTTCTGTCACACCACCTCCACTTGACACAATTGGAACTAAAAATGGTAATGCTATATAAATTGACACCTACCTCACTTGTTTTTCTTATCAGTTCTGGAGGGTAAACAACAAAGTGTCGCAATGTGAATCCAAATCCATTGCTTTGACGCTGCAAACTTATCAACTTGGAGGGCGGGAGATATCCTGGGTTATGTCCAATGTCTTTCTTTTGTTGCCAAGCCAGTTCACTTTCCTATAGAGAAAATTTAATTCCGCAACAGATGTTACTCAGTGGAAATAACATTCTCATAATACTGTATAAAAGCTGTGAGCACAGTATTCTATACATTCAGGATCTTTCATAGAGTGTGATACACTCCATACAGAATGACTCCTCAATCATTTATTAATTTTCTCCTTTTCAATCTTTCTATATTCTCAGTCCCTATACACATACATGTATTTGAGATCAAACAATCTCCAAAAGCACATTAAGATTGGAAGAAAATGAGAACTTATGTTAGCAGGATGTCTTCTGTAAAAAGTTCTTCATAGAATTCTCAAAAACTCTGCTTGCACAAAGTTATTGATATCTGCACAACTCACAAACTATCTAAGATCACTAAAGGTTTATGTTACTTCCACCAGTTAAAAATAAGTTTCACCTCAAGAAAAATCTTCTGCAAACTATATTTAGTCAATGGACTTTAAACTGTCACATGTTAAAATGGAATTAAGCCAGTTATCTTCTTCAATTAAGTGTTATTACCTTTTTATGACCCATAGTCAACTGGAGTAATGAGTTTAAATACACTAAAAGAATTTAGTTCCAAGGATAACACAATGCAAATGACCTTCAGGTCACCAACTAACACTGTTGGTAATGAACTCAAAATTGAATAATAGAACAGATGTGCAACAGGCACAAAATCACATTCATGAACAAATTATTACCAGTTGTTTTGTGTAACAAAAGATTTGTCAATAAACAATGAAAACCATTATCTGCTTCATTGACATCTGTGTGTTTGAATTAACAAGTATTAATAGTAAATGATTTGAAAATTATGTCTTTGACTTCTGAAGGGCCAACTTAATAAGTAAGATGTTTTCACTGAGTAAATCAAACGCCCATATTAATGAGGTGACTTTTGAAATAATTCATTATACAAAATAAATTCTTGAAAAGTTGACAAAAAGTCTGAGAAATTAACAAGATTAGGTAACTGTGACAAAATTGAAAATTGAAAAATAAAAAAGAAGCACCAACAACTGAGGAATGTAAAGACCACTGTACACAGTAGTAAATGAAAGGCTTTTGTTTAATAGCATTACCCACTGTTCCAAGCTTTAGACATCTATAGAAGGTATTATGAAAATGCTGGTGGCCAGTAATTTCTCAAGCACACAAGAACAATTAGTTTTTAAGCTTAAGTTGATAATTTTGGTGAAAGACCTATGTATTTTTCTTAGGAGGGGGGGGGGGAGGAAAAGGGGAGTGGTTGGAAAGTTATATTAGATGTTATAATAATTAGTATTAAT